CGCTGAGCACACGTCATCTGTGTCACAGAATTACAGTTAAGGAGCTACCTCCGGTAACTCCTACCGACGTCATCCGCATTTTAGAGTCTGACTTCAAACATGGCAGTGACGACAGCAAAATTGTGTCACAAGACGACATCACATTCCTCAACATACTGGATAAGGGAATAAGGAAAAACATACATGGCCATTATGAAATGCCTCTGCCCTTCAAAACCAGACCCAGCTTACCTGACAACAAAGGCTCAGCTATGACACGTCTCCTTCACCTTAAAAGGAAATTGCAACGTGATGAAAGGTATTTGGAGCATTATGTTGAGTTTATGGAGGAGGTCATCGGAAAGGGAGATGCTGAGCAGGTCAAGGAAGGTGGGAGAGAAGGTGAGAGATGGTACATTCCCCATCATGGTGTGCATCATGCAAAGAAGCCAGATAAACTTCGCGTGGTGTTCGATTGCTCAGCCAGATACAAAGGAACAAGCCTGAATGATCACCTCCTCTCTGGACCTGACATGTTGAACAACTTAAGTGGAGTTCTCATCCGTTTCCGACAGCACCCCGTAGCATTGATGTGTGACATTCAGAAGATGTTCCATCAGTTTCATGTGGACGAAGCTGATCGTGACTACCTGCGCTTTCTCTGGTGGAAGCAAGGAGATTTGAACTCACCGCCCAGCGAGTTTCGCATGAAAGTACATCTGTTCGGTGCAGCTTCCTCTCCGGGATGTGCAAACTATGGGATGAAACATCTAGCTAAGGAGAATCGCGACATCTACACTCAAGGCTCGAGATTTGTTATGAGGGACTTTTATGTAGACGATGGGCTCGTGAGTGTTGTAAACACTGAAGATGCTATTAAGCTTGCCAGGGAAGCTCGTGAACTCTGCGCCATGGGTGGTCTCCGACTACATAAGTTCGTGTCTAACGACAGAGAGGAATTAGAGACTATACCACCCTCTGAGCGAGCTATCAACGTGAAGGATATGGACCTCGCATTTGATGATTTGCCACTTGAGAGAGCTCTCGGGATTCAATGGGATGTGGATTCTGACCACTTCAGGATTAACGTCAGCCTTAAGGAGCAGCCTGCAACACGACACGGCATTTTATCTACAGTGGCTTCTCTGTATGATCCTCTTGGGTTTGTGGCGCCAGTCGTCCTCAAAGCGAAGATCATTCTTCAGGAGATGTGCAGACGGGGTACTGGCTGGGATGATCCTCTCACTGATGAGCTTCGCCCAAAATGGGAAAAATGGAGAAGTGATCTGACCCACTTGGATAATTTCACCATATCCTATACCTACTCACCTGCTGGATTTGGAAGGGTCTCAAAGACAGAGTTGCATCACTTCTCTGATGCCAGTATGAAGGGTTACGGTCAGTGTTCTTACCTACGTCTCCAAAACGAAGAGGGAGATATTCATTGTGCCTTAGTTGTAGGAAAATCACGTGTCTCTCCTACCAAGGTCACAACGATTCCAAGATTAGAACTGACGACAGCAGTCGTTTCCGTGAATATAAGTAACATGCTTAAGGAGGAATTGGGATTTATTAACGTTGAGGAGTTCTTCTGGACCGACTCTAAAGTGGTCTTAGGTTATATAAGAAATGAAGCACGACGATTCCACACGTTTGTGGCTAACCGCGTTCAGAAGATTCAGCTCAGCACAGCCCCACAACAGTGGCGATATGTCCCAACAAGTGAGAATCCTGCTGACCATGCTTCTCGGGGCTTAACTGCTAGTGAGCTCTTGTCATCTACCTGGCTGACTGGGCCCAAGTTCTTATGGAACAAGGAAATAAAGCTGGCTACAGATGAGGTACCAGAGTTAACAGTCGGAGATCCAGAGGTCAGGAGTGCTCTAGTGCTCAGTACAAAGACCACTGAACATGTGAGCATCGTTGATCGCTTGTCCAAGTTCTCATCTTGGTCGCTAGCTACGCGGGCAGTTGCACGCATTCTCAGGCGCATAAGCAAGAACAGATCAAACGATCTCACCTCTGTCACGGAACGAGCACAGGCGGAGCATTGCATTATCAAAGATCTGCAGAAAAATGTGTATCAAGAAGAGTTGAAACTGCTGAGTAAAGGGATTCCTCTACCATCTCACAATCCGTTACATGCTCTCGACGCCTTTCTCCACGACGACGGTGTTCTCAGGGTGGGAGGAAGACTGCAACTCCTCTCTTCCTTACTTTGTCAAGCACCCTGCAATCATTCCCAAAGATCATCACATAACAAGGATGATTATTGCCTATCACCACGAAAGGATGAAACATCAAGGTAAAGGTCTTACCATTAATGAAATAAGGCGCAGCGGCTACTGGATTAAAGGAATCAACCGGGCGGTCGCTTCCTACATTCGTCAATGTGTCACCTGTAGACGGCAACGCAAACCTATGGAAGAGCAAAGGATGGCTGATCTACCCCCTGAACGGTTGGAACCATCACCCCCCTTCACCTTCTGTGGCATGGACTGCTTCGGGCCATTCCTTACAAGACAAGGAAGAAAGGAGAACAAGAGGTACGGCCTTCTTTTCACTTGCCTTAGCTCCCGTGCTGTTCATATTGAGTTCCTTGAAGACATGTCGACAGATGCCTTCATAAACGGCCTCCGATGTTTCATCGCCATACGTGGTGCTGTTCGTCAGATTAAGTCTGATCAAGGAAGCAACTTTGTCGGTGCCAAAAATGAGCTCAGAGAAGCTTTAAAGGAAGTCGATTCAGACCGTCTGGCTGTATTTCTTGCAGAGAAGCAATGTGATTTCTGCATGAATGCACCCCATTCCAGTCATGCCGGAGGGGTGTGGGAAAGACAAATAAGGACAGTGAGAAGTGTTCTAAGGTCCACTCTTGCCCTTTCCTCTGGTAGACTAAATGATGCTTCGCTACGGGCCTTTTTCTATGAAGCCATGGCTATAGTAAACAGTCGTCCTCTGACTGTTGACAACCTCAGCGACCCTCGTAGCCTTGAACCACTCACCCCTAACCATCTTCTGACAATGAAATCTGTTCAGGCCTTACCCCCCCCCAGGTGAGTTCGTCAGAGAAGATGTGTATGGCAAGAAAAGGTGGAGACATGTCCAATACCTTGCGGAACAGTTTTGGAGTCGCTGGCGAAAGGAATACCTTGCCAATATTGCTCTCAGACAGCGCTGGCATGCTCCAAGGAGAAATTTTCAATTGGGAGACATTGTAATCATGAAGGGAGAGGATGTGCACAGGAACGAGTGGAGATTGGGTAGAGTTTCAGAAAGAACTGTTGATGAAGATGGACTTGTAAGGAGAGTTAAAGTCCGGCTTGGTGACCGTAAGCTTGGCAAGAAGGGAGAGCGTCTTCACAAGGTGTCCGAAGTTGAGCGCCCTATCCAGAATCTTGTCCTGCTGCTGGAGACTAGCTAAATCTGCTCCCTCCACTTCATAGCGCATACTATTTCATAGTTATATATTATCATAAGTTGGTTTAGTTCTTATACAGGTTCTGGGAAGGCAATTTTTTGTTAAAATCATTCGTGTCTAATGCAGACTGTGTAGAGTTCCATTATTTACTCATGATTGGTGGGAGTGTAACTACTTCTAAGGAAATTGAAAATAATAATTTCAGAGCTTTATTTTATTATTTTCTCTGTTAATGTTAAGAGACTTTTATTTTGGCGCTTCCTAGTGGAACGTTAATTTCGCATCTATAAGGGTAAGACTAGTTAGTCAGACGCATCCACGGAGGGAAGAAGGAAAGACACAATTTGGTCTGAGGTTTTATAAAGCTCAAAAGGGATCATTTAAGCACCTAGCTGGAACGGGAACAAGGTATTGTGTGTTTATCTTGTTTTATGGTTATGTGCAGTAATATGAAGGTTAATTCATTTATCTGTGAAAAAGTGTTTAAATGTATTATTTTCTCTCGTGGCAAGCTAATGTACATTTTTAGCATTGTTAATAATAGTCGGGTAATGTTTATGTTTGTAAGAGCTCATTTTATGTTATTTATCTGTCCTGTAGCTCTTACGTTGTTTCAAGGAGAAATATGGAAACGAAAGTAGATTTGTGTTTAATCAAGGCTGACGGCTAAATACAAATAAAGGCTTCTGGAAACATCAGTACGCTTCACCATTGTCTGGCTGGGGGTTTGCTACAGTATGGCCGCCTCTTGGGCTTGGACTAGCGGAGTATCCATTGCCGACATCTGTGCGGTGGCCGGCTGGTCCTTGTTGTCCACCTTTGCCAGGTTCTACAACCTAGGCGTCCCTGCTCTTCAAGCATGCATTGGTTGTGACAGTGGCAGATGGTGATATGTATAAAATCTTGATCCAGTTAATAAATCATTCTCCAAAGCCAAATTGTTGTAATGTGGTGAATACAAATTTCCAGTTGACCCTATCAAAAGCTTTTTCAGAGTCTAATGTGGCAATGAGAGTATCTTTCTGTTGTACTGATGAGTAATGCATTAAACTGTATAATCTGCAGGTATTGTTGGATGCGCGTCTACCTTTTATAAAGCTTGATCAGGATGGATGATTAGGGTATGTATTTTTTCAATTTTATGGGATAATTAGTGACATTAATTAGTGACATTGACATTAAGTGAAATAGGATGGTAGTTAGATGTGAAAGTCTGGTCTTTGTTAGGTTTAGGGATAAGTGATAGTATTTGTTAAGTTTAAGTCAGTAAAAAATGTGTTAATGTACATTGAACCTCTGTGCTGAATATTGTTTACGATTTCATATGACTGTTTACTAAAGGAAAAGGGGGACTCTTATTATGAAGTTCCCGGAAGTGTGGGGTTGTTGTTTTTTTGAGCGTACACCGCGGTGGTGTAACAGGCAATGTGATCTAATAAACGGAGGATTGATTCTAAAGTGTATTCTTTTGAGTAACATTGGTAGCAGAGGATGGTTAGCAACTATAGAACACCCCCAACCTTTGATGAAGGAAAGCCATATGAAAGTTGGAAGAATGAAGTCGCAATTTGGACCAGGGTTACGGAACACTACGTGGAAATACCGGTAGACGATTTGAATAAGGACACTGGTATGAACACTTTACTAGTGAAACTCGATGATTTGTTTCTCAAAGAAGAAAAGGACCAAGTTTATGAGGCGTACTCGAGCTTTGACCGGATTATGAAAGATAGCAGTGTTTCCATGACAGACTATATAATTGATTTTGAACAACGGTACTCGCGGATGCGTAAATATAATATGGAGCTTCCCGACGCAGTATTAGCATTTAAACTGCTGGACACTGCGTGCTTAGAAGTGAAAGACCGACAGTTAGCTCTGACAGCATGTACAGATTTGAATTTTGCGTCAATGAAGTCAGCACTGAAGAGGATTTTCGGAGGAAAGTCCGCTTCTACTGTGGGGATTAATCAGGAAACAGCATATGTAACGGAACAAAGGCGACAAAGGAGCAAGCCATGGTCACAAAATGTTCAGCAAAAAACACCACTGCCTGGCAGCAACCCTCTGGACAGATATGGACGCAGATCAAAGTGCGCTGTTTGTCAAAGCACATTCCACTGGGCCAAAGACTGTCCACACAGAGGTGAGCAAGTCAAACTTACTGAAGATTGTAAAACAGATGATATAGAGGAGTGCAACATTACTCTGTATACTAAAGAGTGTCCCACTGAAGCAGAAATATTTATGACAGAGTGTTTCGGCTCAGCAATAATAGACACTGCATGCACACGGACTGTGTGTGGACAGGAATGGATAAACAGTTACATCGCTGAACTAAGCCAAAACGAGATAAAAGACCTGAGAAAGACAGAAACACCCAGTCACAGACCCTTTAAGTTTGGTGATGGAAAAGTGGTCTATTCCAACAGAAAGTTGAAAATTCCTGCAAAGATTGGACAAACTAAGTGTCATATTGAAACTGAAGTTGTGCCAGCGAAGATTCCACTACTCTTGAGCAAGGCATCCATGAAAAGAGCAGGGACAGTGCTGGATATGGAGAATGACAGTGCGGTGATGTTTAGTCAACCTGTAAAACTTGACTTTACAAGCTCTGGTCATTACTGTGTAAACATCATGGACAATGAAAAGAAAACCATTCAAGGTGACGAATGTGTCTTGGTGGCTGTTGAAGATGTCACTCTAACAGAACAAAAGAATGAGGATGTACAAAGTCAGTGTGAAGAGGAAATACTGACAATCTCAGAAAAAATTAGTTCAGCAGAAAAACACAAAATCCTGATGAAGCTTCACAGACAGTTTGGTCATGCTTCTGCTGACAGACTGCAGAGACTTCTTACTAGCTCTGGGAATAAAGATGCAGAATGTAGTGTCATTCTGGAAAAAATTGTCAGTGAATGTGAAACATGTCAAAGATACAGTAAGACCAAACCAAAGCCTGCTGTTGGCCTACCACTGGCATCTCAGTACAATGAAACTGTTTCAGTAGATCTGCATGAACTTCAACCAGGTGTGTGGTATCTCCACATTATTGACCAGTTCACAAGGTTTAGTGCCGGCAGCATACTAACCACAAAGAAATCTTCTGAAATAGTGAAACACTTTGTCCATGTCTGGATAAGTGTACATGGTCCACCTCAGAAACTGTTTAGTGACAATGGGGGAGAATTTAACAATGATGAGGTTAGAGACATGGCAGAAAACTTCAACATAGAAATAAAGACAACAGCAGCATACAGCCCGTGGAGTAATGGACTTACAGAGCGACACAACCAAACACTTACTGAGATCATGATGAAAGTGAAGACAAGTAATGGCTGTGACTGGGACCCTGCATTGGACTGGGCTCTTATGGCAAAGAACACTATGCAAAATGTCCATGGCTACAGTCCTCATCAGTTGGTGTTTGGACAGAATCCCAACCTGCCATCTGTATTAACCGACAAGCCCCCAGCTTTAGAGGGCACCACGAAAAGTGAGTGGGTGGCAAAACACATCTCCGCTTTACATGCATCAAGAAAGGCGTTCACTGAAGCAGAATGCTCAGAAAGAATACGGCGAGCACTACGTAAACAACTGCGTCACACATATGAGAAATATGAAATGGGTGATAAAGTGTACTACAAGAGAGTTGATTGTCCAAAGTGGAAAGGACCAGGAGTTGTTATTGGCCAGGATGGTGCTGTGGTGTTTGTCAGACATGGAGGAACCTGCATTAGGGTACACTATCTCAGGCTAAGAAAAGTAAACCCAGACAGTGGAGATCAACATGTCCACTATGGGGCAGAATGTAGCAGCACAACCCACAAGTGATGACATTGGGACACAAAGTGATACAGAGCAAGGAAAGGAGGTCCGTCTAAAAACAGGGCAAGTTCTAAAATACAGAGACAGAGACAGTGGGGCTTTTCACAAAGCAAAAGTAATAGGGCGTGCAGGCAAAGCTACTGGCAAATACAAAGACTGGTATAACCTTCTGCTCATAGAACCCACTAATGTTGCAGGCAGTAAAGATTCAGTTGACATATCATGTTTAGAGTGTCTTCAAATAGAACCTGCTGTTACAGATGTAAGTGTCACAAATGTCAGTGAGGATGTATTGGTAACAAAAGATCTGTCCTTTGACCTAGCCAAACAAGAAGAGATGAAGAGTTGGAGAGATAACAGTGTGTTTGAGGAAGTTCAGGATGAGGGACAAAAGTGCATCTCTACCAGATGGGTATGCACTCTCAAGGAAACACTAACTGGACTAGTACCGAAAGCACGATTGGTGGCCAGAGGTTTTGAGGAGTTAAATGTGTCAGAGCTACAAAAGGATTCACCCACATGTGCTTCAGAATCTCTTCGACTGCTGGTGGCAGTTATTTGTCAAAAACAGTGGTCACTTCATTCTATGGATATAAAATCTGCATTTCTACAGGGAATAGAGTTGTCACGTGACATCTACATCAGGCCTCCCCCTGAGGCCGTCAGTGAAGGAACATTATGGAAGCTAAAAAAGTGTGTATATGGCTTGGCAGATGCTTCATTGTACTGGTACAATAGAGTCAAAGACATAGTGCTGAAAGCAGGAGGAAAAATGTCCAAGGTTGATCCAGCTGTTTTTTATTGGCTAGATCAGGACTGCATTGTCACTGGGGTGCTTGCCTGTCATGTGGATGACTTCTTATGGGGAGGCATGGAAAGTTTCTCCTCAACCGTAATACCACACCTTAGATCTGTTTTCCAAGTTGGACGTGAGGAACATGATCACTTCTGTTATGTGGGAATAGATTTTGTGACTATTGACAGAAAAGTACAAATACACCAGGAGAGCTACATTCAACACATGCAGCCCATACATCTGGATCCTTCACGAGCTGTGGAACAAGACTCATCTCTCTGCGAGGAGGAAAAAGATCAGCTCAGATCCAAAATAGGCCAAATTCTCTGGGTGGCAAGGCAGAGCAGGCCAGATGTTATATTTGATGCAAGCAATTTGACATCTAATATAAAAAATGCTACTGTGCAGACAATTCATGAAGCAAACCGGATAGTGTGCAAACTTAAGTCCAAGAAGGTAATTCTAAACTTCCAACACTTGGGCAGAGACAGTGCTCTTAAGATGGTTGTGTTCAGCGATGCTTCGTTTGGAAATCTTTCCGATGGAGGCACTCAAGGAGGCCACTTGATTCTTCTAATGGGAGAAAATGGAAAATTCTCACCCCTTTCATGGCAATCAAAGAGAGTCAAGAGGATTGTGCGGAGCACACTTCCTGGTGAAACTTTGGCAATGTCTGATGGAATTGACAATTGTATTTTTCTGTCCACACTGTTCTCAGAACTAACTGCTGGTGATGCTGATCATGCTCCACCAATAATCTGTGTCACAGACAATCATTCGCTTGCTGATGCACTTAAGTCCACAAAGTCAGTCTCTGAGAAAAGACTCCGTCTGGAGATAAGTAGCATCAAAGAACTTGTACAAACACAGAGAGTAGAGCGAGTACTGTGGTACAACACAAAAGAACAACTTGCGGACTGTCTTACCAAGAAGGGGGCATCAGCTTGCCAGTTACTCAAGGCACTGAGTGAAGGACAATGTAAACTGAATTAAAACAAAGTCTATCTTTGACTTGTACTCAAAATCTGGTTGAAATTTACTAGTTCGTATTTTTGTTCAAGCAGGATGTTGTTCAGTATGTCCTGTCAGTATGTTGACTTAAAAAAAAATAATAATAATATTTTTTTTTTTTTTTGAAGAGTGGGAGTTTGTTAAGTTTAAGTCAGTAAAAAATGTGTTAATGTACATTGAACCTCTGTGCTGAATATTGTTTACGATTTCATATGACTGTTTACTAAAGGAAAAGGGGGACTCTTATTATGAAGTTCCCGGAAGTGTGGGGTTGTTGTTTTTTTGAGCGTACACCGCGGTGGTGTAACAGGCAATGTGATCTAATAAACGGAGGATTGATTCTAAAGTGTATTCTTTTGAGTAACAGTATTCATGTGGGATGGGAATTTTGCATTATGTTTTATTTCCGTTATTGTTCTACTAAATAGTGGGTATAAAAAAAGACCAAAAATGTTCATAGAACTCAGCAGGGAAGCCATCCGGTCCAGGTGCTTTATTATTTTGCATGCGTTTCAGCGCGGAGAGAAGTTCTTTTTCAGTGACTGGTAATATGAGGGAGTTAAATTGTTCTAGGTTAAGTTTTGGTAAAATGGTGTTAGAAGAATTGGGTTATGTCTTCTTGGTTTGGGTCCAGATCAAATTAGTATAATTTTGTATAGTATTCTTCAAATATTTTGTTTATGTCAATTGGTAAATTGGAATACTGCCTTTTCTGTAACACTTTATTTTACTTAGAACTTCTGAACTTAGATGGAACAACACTCCTTACGAAGAAGTACAAAATACTTGAAAGGTGGGTCGAACACTACAGCAGTGTTTCCCAACCCTGTTCCTGGCGGCACACCAACACTGCGTGCTTTCTTTGTCTCCCTAATCAAACACACCCGATTCAACCCATCAGCTCATTAACCCACCTGATTATGAGCTGATGGGTTGAATCAGGTGTGTTTGATAAGGGAGACAAAGAATACACGCAGTGTTGGTGTGCCGCCAGGAACAGGGTCGGGAAACACTGCACTACAGCACAGTCCTCAATCGGCCATCATGTATAAATGAGGAGGCAATTGCGAGATTGCCTCAAGTTGAAATAAACCAGTCCTTGGCTGTACTACCATCCACTGAGGAAACCAGCAAAGCCATAACACTTCTTTCATCAGGCAAAGCTCCAGGGACCGCTGCCATTCCAGCAGAAATCTACAAGGCTGGAGGGCCTCGCTTAGTCGAGAAACTGACCGATCTCTTCCAGGCCATGTGGAAATTAGAAGCTGTCACATTTACCGTTTTGATGGTGGGCTATTCAATCTGCGGAGGATGCAAGCCAAAACTAGAGTGGAGGAAGTCACTGTTCAAGAACTCTTGTTTGCTGATGACTGTGCTCTGTCTGCTAGCTCAAATAAAGATCTACAGGACATTATGGACCACCACTACTCTGCTTGCAACAACTTTGGCCTAACAATTAGCACAAAGAAGACCGAAGTCTTATACCAACCTGCTCCTGGGAAACCCTATACTGAGCCAACCATCTTTGTGAATGGGCAAAAGCTTTCAAGTAATTTAATTTGTAACTTTGTTTGGTATTTAATAAATCATTTTCTTTGCTTGGAAACCCAGCATTCTTTGCCCTTGACTGCTTGGTCCCTCACAATCGCCAAGACCAAAATCACTCATGAACTGTTTTATTGTTTTGGAGGACTGCCAGGATTTCCCTGTATGTTTTGACCTGTCAAACATTTGGATTTATTCTGACGTAGTCTGAAATTATTAACTGTAATAGATGTCCATAACACCACAAATCTATGCACTCTGACTGATGTTTTAGAGCTTCAACTAACACATTGGCATTAGTCTGTACAGGCTAATAATGGGGTTTCTATTTAGAGCAACAGTGGCTTGTTAGACCAAATCTAAATAGGGTGAGCCTCAACCTCTGATTATTGTAATGTTATTCTAACAAAGGCCTTTTTATTAGCGTATTATTCCACACGGAGACGCGTTTAGCTGTATACGTAAACATTTTGTATCGTATTCGACATTTTGTCCAGATGGACCCGGCGTTTTGGGAGACTGAAACTGCTATTGTTTTAATCAAAAAAATGTGTATAGGTTTCAGCTGAATCAAAAACATACATCACAGATCCAATTAACTATATACAAACAGATGCCATGAAATTAACCAGACCAAAATAAAATAATTGAGTAAAACAAACCGATGCCATGACATTGCAGACCAAAGTATAGAAGACAAATACAGATAATTAGGATGTCAAGGTTTTAGTTTTTCTAACAAAATCTCTATAGTTGACCGGTGAATAGTTTTGTCCTTGGCCCCATGGAGCTTAGCACTCCAGATGGAAGCAGAAGAGGTGGATGGTTCAATCCAAACCCTCTTCCAAGGTTTTTTCTCCATTCTGTCACCTTATGGAGTTTTGGTTCCTTGCCACTGTTGCCTTGGCTTTTGGCTTGCTTAGTTGGGGACATTTATTATTCAACACTATTATTGATCTGTGTTGTATAATTTTCATGTTATCACTGTGAAGCTGCTTTGATACAATCTGTATTATAAAAAGCGCTATATAATTAAAGGTGACTTGACCCGCTCTATTGGAAACCGTCGTTGGGCCGATTAAGCGGGCCTTACACTGACACTCCTCAGTCAAAAAATTCAGACTAAAAATGGCTTTCAGCACAACTTAAATAGTTAGGAAAGCGTCAGGAATTCAGGAATTGCATTATGCTTGGGTTTGATATGCATTGACTATAATTCATCTTGTTCATATATTGAGCACTGCTACAATTTATACACAAAAGATCAATCACCACATATGAAGCGACTAAATCAAACTGAGATCTTACCTGGCAGGTATCTGGACTGGCGCAGGTAATGTTGTCTGGCTGAAGAGGTGATATGGTGACTAGAGTCTGGCTGGTTCAGTCTGCTGGTGTTCGGTAACTTGGTTACAGTGCTAAATGTGTAAAAGGGTTTCTGGTCCTTGGGCCTGCAAAGTTTTTCATAGCATAAAAAAGGGAAAGATTGAAATCTGAAATGGAATATTTGAAATGAAAAGTGAAATAGAGAAACATAAAAGCCCTGTTCTCAAACCTAGTCAGCAGCCATTAAATTAGATATTATTTGTAGCTATCATTGGCACGTTTGTAGGTCAGTAGACAGCACGTTCTAGGTTTGAGAATAGTGTGCTCATTGAAATTTGCTATGGATGAAATCAGTGAAATCAGTGTAAATACTGCTGATGTTAATCTTTAAATATAGCAATCATACTGTGGTGTAGTTTTCTCCTCCTCAAGGCCTTTGCTGGGTTTTTTAGAGAGGGAAGCTGCAGTATCAGAACAGTCAGACTCATCCCAGCTGTCTGATGGTTTCATGTTTGACTGTCCCCACCTTCTTCGACCGTTCTTCAGTCCAATCAAGCTGTTCTCACCCCCGACCACCTCATGTTAGGAAAACAAAGCATAATTCTGCTGATGTTCATATGTGTATTTAAATGCAATAGATAACTACTACAGGCAACCTTCATGTTTCATTCATTCAGTTTCAGTTATATATATATATATAGTATATATATATATATATAAAAAATGACAATATAACCAGTTCTGTCCCCATAGCTGTTTACTCAAGTTTATTAAATGAATGATCTGGGTGGCAGCAGTAATCTCGCACTACTTAGCTCGTTAGCTCGTAACCTGGTTGCGCAATTAGAAATCCCACGAAGGCTACACTCGGCGTGTCCTCTGAAGGCTGGGTAGGCTGGGTCCTTCGAAGGACGCGTCCTTCAAAGGACGCAGCCTTCACATTGGGACACAGTGCAAATCTAATAACTTACCATGATAAAGTGCATTTAAACAGATCCAACAAATAAAATGAATAAAAAACATTATCTGTCGATGTCTATTTGTATTGGCCACTGAGTGTAGCTATAATAGAAATATAATTAACCACAAACCAGCAACATGAGACTTCAAGTCTTTTAAATAAATTATTTTCTCTTGTCACTTCTTTTGGTATAGAATAAAATACCAGTTCAGGGTTCCTTTTTTCAGCTGTTGTTGCAGCAACTCCACAACATATTGCAGGCATTAATGAGACCGTCGGTCGCAAAGATGGCGGCGCAAAGCTACAGTGACGTCACGTGAACCGAATGAATAGCCAGAGCAAAGCACCTATCTTGATTTCATCAGTAAACACTCAAACAGACCAAAAATTTTATTTAGCACTATAAACTCTGTTATCAATCCCTCAAATTGCCCAGTTGTTGATGTATCGACCGATACATGCGATAAATTTCGTACGTTTTTTACTAATAAAATTGAGAACTTTAGATCAGTGTTTACCCCCACCTCACCTGTTAATTCATCTGGTTGCTCAGATGTACTAGTTTTTGCCAATTTCAGCCAATCTCACTCACTGAATTGAGGAATTTCGTATCACATATGAAACCTACTACTTCATCTTATGATTCCATCCCCTCCTCTATTTTAAAGGATGTCTTTGATGTAGTTGGCCCCTCCATTCAGGTCATCTTAAACTCATGTCTTGCTTCCAGGACTGTCCCTATGTGTTTTAAGCATGCGGTTGTCCAACCCCAGCTCAAAAAACATAATTTGTTGTAGTATGAGATGTGTGAGAGTAATAAGATGTTAACTGTCTAACTAATTACAGTCCCATTTCTAAGCTTCCTTTTATTTCAAAAGTTATGGAAAAAGCTGTTCTGTCACAGCTGCTCCCCTTCTTAACCACCCACAATATACTAGAACATTTTCAGACAGTTTTAAATCATTTTTAGTACTGAAACAGCCCTGCTCTAAGTAACCAATGATCTTCTTCTCACACTAGATTCAGGTGATAATGCCATCTTGATATTATTGGATCTTAGTGCCTCCTTCGACACCATTGATCACAACATCCTCCTTACTCGTCCTGATCAGCAGGTGGGCATTAGGGAGACAGCATTACTTTTGTTCCGCTCCTATCTCACTGATAGGACTTTCTCAGTATCGATTGTCAATTTCTCATCTTCTGCTTCATATGGGGTCCCTCAGGGGTCCATCCTGGGTCCTATGCTTTTTAGTCTGTATATGCTCCCTCTGGGTAACATCATAAGGAAGCATAACATCTCCTTCTATCTATCTATCTATTTGGTATCCATCTCTAGGTATCTATTTGAAACAGTGGCTAAACTAATGAAAAAGAAAGCTTCAAACCCAGAAGTGTCCAAGCAACACAGTAGTAATGACTTTATGAATTTCTTCACTTATAAGATTGATAATATCAGGGACAAAATTATAACTATGCAACCGTCTACTACAGTATCGCTATAAAATAAAAAATAAAAAACTATAAAATCTGTACTGAATCAAACTGAGTAATGTAATTGTAACATTACTACAGAAAATAATTTCACCCATCATAGAGGTGCATGGATGTCTGTTTCTGGTTTGTGTTACTGATGTTATTGATGAAAAAGGAAAAGGGGCTGTATAGAAAAATGCATATCTTCCATGTCCCTTTCCTCAAGTGGGAACCAAAGAGTAACTGGGTTGCTTTGTTTTTTTTTTTTTTGATGATCATGAACTGAGTTGATTGGATATGCACTAACTTTGCAAAGACAAGCTTGGCAAATTCTAATACAACTGTCTCATAGTAACTTATAAAAGGTATTAAGCCCAATTTATTATTTTTATACTTTATAGACAATGATGCAGAAGTATGAAAACCAATGCATAGCATACAGTTTAGAAGCTCCGGCGTAGGTCTGACGCAGAAGTATAAATCAGCCTGTAGTGACATGGTTAAACTACAGGTCAAAAAGTCTCTTTTGCTCACCAAGGCAGCATTTATTGATTAAAATAACTAAATTACTAAATATTTCACAATTTAGTCATTTTAGTAATTTATTTTGCAATTTATTCCTGTGAAGTCCTTCAGAAATCATTCTAATATGATTACTTGATAAATAAACACATTAAAAAACTTTTTCCAAACTATTGATATGTACAGACTTTTGTATGTTAACAACTTGACAATGAGTTGCCTATTTTCAACATTCATTAATGGTATTGTTTAATAGTCACATTGATTTTCAATGTTTTGATTAAATATTGTGAGGCCACATAATTAAAAAAAATGTGCAGATACATATTTTATACTAAATACTGCAATATTACATAAAATAATAAAATAAGGATTGCCTATTTTGATTTAATGGTGACTTTAAATTTGATATGGAGGTTTTGTACCTTTTGTGTGTATGAAGCGAGAGGGTCTGTCTGAGGGAGAGACTGAGGCAAAGGAATCTGCTGCAGTGGCTGATGGGAGTTTCTACTTTGGCCTTTAGTCTGTGATGGCAGCACTGTTTCTGAGACACACTGCAGCTCTGATCTGGGTTCACTGGGCAGGACGGTCTTTATCTGAGCCTTCCGTACATCAGGGGTCATGGGACGGGGACCCAACACTTGTCCAACTTGGAAGTAGGGGTATCTGAGTGCCTAAAATGATGTTTAAAAACAATTACTTACACAAACAAAGATTCAAAAACGTTGCTTGTTAATGTCTAAAATGAGGTAAATAAAAATAATAATCCTTTCAAAACCGTTTGTGTTAGGTTTGGCTTGATGAACCACCCCCTTCCTCCATTGCTCACAAGTCTCTTTACATATTATATACATTACATTTTATTACAAGGGTCTAAACAGTGACACTTTCGTTTCAGATGTACAGATCACCGTTAATACTAGTGGCACCTGTTTTGATTTGATTAGTCATTTTAGATGCAAATAATGTGAGATGGTTGCTGTGGAAAGAAGAATTATGTAATTATTAGTAGACACTAATGTAATACTTCTACAACATTAACCTTTGACGCAAACACAAGGTTTTTCCTCCATTCTGTCACCTGATGGAGTTTTGGTTCCTTGCCACTGTTGCCTTGGCTTTTGGCTTGCTTAGTTGGGGACATTTAATATTCAACAATATTATTGATCTGCCTTACTTCTAGGAACACACTTATATTATTTTCATGTTATTACTGTGAAGCTGCTTTGATATAATCTGTAAAAGCGCTATATAAATAAAGGTGACTTGACTTGTGATCAGTCTAGGCTGGTCCCAGCCAGGAGCATAAGTTCACACCAGTGTGATTAGAACGTTCAGTGCATCACAAGATCAACTGCTTAATTAAAATGTGCTTTCATGCTTTGACTGGAGCTGATCCAGAGACGGAAGCACTCAGTGCTTGTCGTACAGTGCTTAGCATAAGTGAACACACCCATGCTAAAGTTGACTAAAAAGAGGAATATAAAAAAAAATCATCTTTTGGAAATTGATCTTAGGACAAATTTAAATTGTTAAATTCCCATACAGGCAGGCAGATTTTTTTTTTTAAAGGCCAGTTATTTCATGGATCCAGGATACTATGTATCCTGATAAAGTTCCCTTGGCCTTTGGAATTAAAATAGCCCCACATCATCACAAGCCCTTCACCATACCTAGAGATTGGCATGGTTTATTTCAGTTAGCCTAATAGCTGTTTTGATTTGCACTGAGAGATGATCTTATGGAAAGTACGCCATGCCAATCTCAAGATAAGCCTCGTCTATTTCAACATTCAAGCACACGCAGACACTAAAGTACCAGCGTCTCTCGGATTGGTACTCGCACAATGTGTGATAAGTTTTGTGTGCACAGCAACATACTGCACATCCAAAGCGCACGTTTCACAGTGGGTAAATACATCTCCCTCAGCTTAAACGGATATGGTATGCTTTGTTTGTGTGTGGCAGTCGTCCATGAGGGGCTTTCGCCTTTTCTTTCGTTTTGTGTTTTTTTTTTTTTTCATTAAATTGTTTAAATGTTCACTGGTTCCCCCCTCTTTCTTATCATAACAACATACCTTGCTACAAACTACACGTTTACTATCAGTTCGAAGCTGCTTGCCCCGTTAGACACTCTGACAGATGCATGTGCTGACAGATAAATATTTGTACTGCTGTGTAATGTGTTCGAGATGTTGTGCTTTCCACAGTGCATAACCTATATTTCAAAAGTATATATTCTTTATCTTAAATGTTAGAAACTCATGCAAATATTTTATATTTATTTAACAATAAATGTGCCATATGTAGAATTTTGAACCTACAAGTAAGTGTATTTTTATGATAACAGTAACTGTAAAGTGACTATTGTAATGGGGTAGACCTAATCAAATGTAGGTAAATTAGTTTGTGCTTTTTTTTGTAATTTGAACACATTTAAAAATAAAATCATTATTTTTGTTTTTAGACTATAATGTCACAATGTTAGAATGTAATATGATTTTAACTCATTTTTGCACATAATATACTATTTGTAATTTGTTCTTATTTTAATATTGAATGTCTTTAACAATATTTGTGGCTGTGGTGTGTCACGTAACAAGCCTGACAAGCCCACCAAGGAAATAATAAAGGTGATGTGTTTTAAAATAATGGTTGCCTTTAAAAAAAAAAAAAAAAAAAATCACGTTGGGGGTGGTCAGCTAGAATATTTTAAACGAACATGCGAAAGGATTAATAGTGGTCGACTGCGAGTTCTGAAACTTTTGTCAGATTACATACCAAACTGCAATCTGGCCTGGAGTCCACAAGAATATGTACCTTTGCAGCAGAGGGTCTTTTCTTTGGGTCCCAGTGGAGGAAGTCTCTCATGAGGTCTAAAGCCTCATTGGTGGCGTTGGGGATCAGAGTTTTCAGTGGTGTAGGAACACACTGGGGAAAACGGAAGTTCATCGCAGCAGCTAGCTGATAACCCTCCGGCCAGTCTGACTGCAAGGCAAAATAATCAATGCTTATTACATCAAGCACTCTTTACCCATTTACCCATGAAACTAAATATTTTAATAGAGAATAATTAAATAAAACGCATCATAAACTGATCACAGACAACAAATGATTATTAAAGTCGCATTTAGCTCAATCACATATGAAGGATACCTGGAGGTTGGTCGCTCCTGGCCCAAAATCTTATGCTACCAGTTAAAGGGCACCTATTATGCCCCTTTTTACAAGATGTAATATTGGTCTCTGGTGTCCCCAGAATGTTTTTGTGAAGTTTCAGCTCAAAATACCCCATAGTTAATTTATTATAACCATTTGAAAATGTCATTTTGGGCCCTGATTAAAAATGACCTGTTTCGTGTGTTTACCACCTTAAATGCAAATGAGCTGCATATCCCCGCCCTGCCTTTGGATGACGGCGTAACTTGATACCCATGGCAGTCGGTACTTAGAGAGTGAGAGAAAACCGCTGTTTTGAATGTCATTCAGCGTACATTTGAATCGGAATATATAAATAGTACGAAGAGACTCCGGCAGAATAAAAATAAATGAGAATGGACCAGTACGTCTCGGTATGGTTATTTGTTGTAATCGCGTCCCATTTGCAATTATGGATGTGGAACACACTCACAAACACTAATGCTTGCGCAATTTTTTGAAACTACATACACATACTGTGATAAAGTTTGCTACGTACAAGCGAAATTAGATTTATGCAGGGACCTGTGGCGTCATGTTTACTTGTCATACAGGTGCTTCTGTGGCAAATGTGAGGAGATGGCTAACTTACAGAACAAGAACATATATGCAGTTTTTAATACAATATCTTTAAAAATATATATATATTTATAAACGTGTGGTTACACACAATACAAACAAGGTTTAAATTATATAGCCTACACAGACATCCTACGACGTCAACAACTTTAGACGCATTTGTTGTTGAATTGGCTGACATTGACTGAAAAGACTATTTGCTCATAAAAAAAATCATAAAATAAACTTACTGTTACTGGATGTGACGGTGGATCGCAAACAGTAGATGACGATCCACACTTGAGGATTAACTTTTAAGCTACAACAACAGAATTAACCCACGACAGAACGTTTATGTTTCCAAGAGACATTACCGGCTGTCGTTGAAACAATGGAGGATGTGTGTACAGATCACCAAGAGTGGGGTCTAGGCCACAACCACACTGTCAATCAAACCCCTTGCTCAATTCTACGTCACAAAGAGCTGAATCTTAGAACAGCTTGTTCCGAGACATATGATTGCATATGATTTATTGAGATTGTAAAAAAATCACTGGGTGGATTTTTATCATTCTAGGGTGGTTTTGCTCACACACTGCCAACACACATTTATGTTCAAACACCATGTAAAAGTGAATTTTCCATAATAGGTGCCCTTTAATGTTTCACATACCAGAATACTGGTATGTGAGCGGGGTGGAGCGGCAACAATTTACCGCCTGTGCTCTAACCATTCAATAATCACTCCGCTCCAGCTTCACTCCAGGTTCACCATTTCCCACTCCACTCCCTGAGGAAATTCATGGCTAAAGTATTTAAGTATGCTTTGAAATCTCACAAAGTTCTGTTAGATGGTTATCAGCTTTAAAAGTTAAATATCATTGCTGCTTTATGCAGTGCAAATTTTGTGTGCAAAGATGAAAATACCAGGACGATTTCATCAGTTATTTTATCTACGGTTGACTACATTTCTTACAGATTTCTGCTCATTCGAAATAGTATACAGATAAAGTAGAACTGTAAGATTACATTTGCATTAGTGAGAGAATAATTGAGTGTGTAAATAAAAGCGACCTGTTTAAAATGTGCTTATCTTATCATATTTAGTAGTCTATCTAGTAGGTACAAACAAATTCCTTGAGAACTATAACCACCGCTCATGTCCATTGCTGTCATCATGACCTTCATCTTGTTTCTGAATTTAGTGATCCATCTGTATCAAGCTAGCTAAATGTGTTTAACGTGTGAATTCTTGCTAAAAATGCAGTTATAATACGTGCTGTTGTAGGGGATGAATTGTACTTGTGAGGGAGCGGTAGTGGAGCACTCTCGTAGCGAGTGAAAGCCACGACACTCCAACTTTTAAAAACTCCTCACTCCATTCAAAATCAAACCGCTCCACTCCACGCTCCGCTCCCACTCCACCCCGCTCACATACTCTAATTTTCCAACCAAAATATATAAATGACCAGAGGACTCAACTCTCATTTAATGAATTAATGGCCCAACCAACTCAAAGTCAACAACTGACTTGGTTGAAATTAGTATTCAGTCACTGGGGCTGACTCTCATGATCGTGACCAATTAGCCTTTTCTCATACAGAAAAAGAGACAAATCACTGTCCTCAAAATCAAGTTGTTTCAAATTAACTTAAGCTGCTGTGACATGCTCTAAATTCCCTGATAAAGTTGGTTCATCTTCATATGTGATCATACCTTCTTTACTGTACCAAGGACCTGGCAGATCTTAAAGATCTCATCCACCTCACTGTTGCCAGGAAACAGAGGTCTTAGCGTGTAGAGTTCAGCCATAATGCAGCCTACTGCCCAGATGTCTATGGGTGAACTATACACTGGTGACCTCAACAGCACCTCTGGAGCTCGATACCTGACCACAAACACATAAGAGAGAGAGAGAGAGCTTTGAAATGCACACATTTCAGCCAGTAGTGGAAACTGCTGCAAGTTGCACATGCTCAGTTTCACTTTGAGGAATTTTGAACTTTTAAGCTCTCTCTTTTATCTTTATGTTGTTGGTTGAAAGTGAATTGCAGATTCCATCACTGTCATTAGCAGGCACCATTTATAACAGTAGACATGAAATAAAGTATGACTGAATTGAAAGATTGAAACTTTCAAATATGTAACTAATATTATTAGTAACACTTTAAAATAAGGTTCTTTAGTTAAAGGGATAGTTCACCCAAAAATGAAAATTCTTTCATCATTTACTCACCCTCAAGTTGTTCCAAACCTCTATGTGTTTATTTGTTCTGCTGAACACAAAGGAAGATATTTGGAAGAATGTTTTAATCAAACAGATTTCAATCCCCATTGACTTCCATAGGCTTGTGCAAAATTCAGAATTTCAGAATTGGCCTCCGTTCAATTCATGAATTGGAATTTGAATTCAATTGACTCCGCCCCACAGAAAGTTGAATTGGAATTGGAATGACAGATAGTGAAATTAAATTCATGGCAATTCAAAGAAATTCCACACAGTCACACAACAGAAAGAATGTGTTGAATCTCACATAGGGGAGAGCGGGGCACAACGTAAAGCTTTTTGACTTTCTCAGTTTGTGGCAAATCTATTTAGAGTATTTATTTTTTTCCCACATTAATTTCCCACATGTCTCGTACAATTATGTAGTTTTGTTTTATTAAAACAGTGTATACTTTTTTCTTGATTTACCCAGAAAGAAATGTGACAACATGCCCCATAGGTGGGGTACATTGTAACATGTGAGGGGCACATTTTAACATTTTAAACTATATGACAGCTTAAAATGCTATCTTATCTAATCAAAAAATATACAAGTCAAACCAAAATATTTTTCTTAATAAAATACAATTATTAACATTTTAATATAAAATAATGGCATTTTTTAATAATTAAATATAAATTAATTTTGGAGTTTGACAACAAAACACACTGGAAAACACAGCTATACAGCATAGTTTGAAACAAAATAATAATTAACCATTTTTTAACATTGACTCTCAGTCTTTATTTACATGTTTCTCATGTTTTCTCAATATAATTAATAAAAGTATAGAATATAATAGCATATTTCTAATAGGGGCACATCTGGGGTTTAAACCCTGCTAGCATCTTCTGCTAGCTAGCAAAGCATTAAAGAACTATATCAACTGTTAAAGGGGGGTTGACTGCGATTCAGTGTTGTTTTTGGCAGCCCTTTTAGTTTTAGTCTTAGTCTTAGTCTTTTGGACAAAAATGCTTTTAAGTTTTAGTCACATTTTAGTCATTTATAAACTTAATAGTTTTAGTCAAGTTTTAGTCGACGAAAACACCAAAAGGTTTTAGTCAAGTTTAATCAATTTTAGTAAAAAAAAAAGTAGTTTTTAACAAATGAATTTACTTTAAAAAGTAGTGGAAATGGGCTTAGGTTTGACAGATTTAGCAAGTGTTGCAATTCATAAAACAAGCTAACCGCCTTTGCAGAACAAACTAGACTTTCTCATCGATGGAGATGCAGTGCTGCCATTGCCAAGCTGTACTTCATTGTCACATTGGGCAGAAACCTTTTATCCCCATAAAGTTATAGTTTGACCCCTGAATATTAAAAGCTATTTTCACCAGTTATCAAAGTAATAAAGGAATAAAGGAATGGTTTAAAGTTTAAACAGCAAAAATGTTGAGCTACTAGAACATTGTACACAGATAAAGTGGTAACAGTGGAATCACTGTTTTACTCCAAAAAAGCCAAGGATAAAAACATTCTTACTTTGGCAATTGTGGCTTTATTTGAGAAATTGCTAAAGTGCAATGAACAACGTAGTATGCAACAATAAGATGCATATTATTTGTAAACACAAACATTATGTATACAACCCAGTCTATCTTTAACTTGTGCAAACTGCAAACATTCTCAGGGTTGCCAAGTCTCACGCATCTGGCGTGACACTCACGCATTCAGCCTCAATCTCACGGTCTCACGCTCAACAAAGGAATCTCACGCTAAATTAGAAATTCTTCTGTGCTGTATTTTTTTGTATTACTATAAGCAAGTTCAGGCTCTTAATTACTGATTGGACCACTGCATTTTATCACGCAGAGAAAAATCGCGGAAAAGGATGACACTGACACCGACAGACAGAGAAGTTTACTTTTGATATGGAATGCTTTGGCGCTTTTAAATGTGACAGATCGCAGTTCAAACAGCACGTGATACAGTTGCCTAGGCTACAACACCCACAGGGCACGAGCAAAATACTGTATCTGGTAATCTCCCGCTTTATATTAAACAAACTGTCAACACGGGCTTTTGCGATGCACAGAGAGACGCTGCGCTGCCTATGACTTTGAGTGGACTTTGAACGTGAGTTGAGAGCGTACATTTGCACTACGTGCCTGTCTTTTTAGCAAAAAAGATACCCTTCTTCACTGAATATCTATAGTGGCGTAGGGCGAGGGCGTGAGGTACTTGAAAGTAATGTAAATAAAATATGCTTTTGAAATATTCAATTTCATTTATACAGTACATTTATTGGCTAGGCCTACAGTATATGGATTTTACGTAATAGGAATAATTATATAAATCATTATTACATTATAATAATCGTTTGGCATCCTAAAACAGAGGATTATATCATAACTAAAAAGATGTTTGATCCCTCTTTAATGTCCAGGTACAAGTCGAGGCTTTTCCTTTTTTCAATGTCACAGTTCATGGGTTGAAGCCAGTTAAAGCTCTTAATTTTGAGTTCTCAAAGTGCACCAGATTGATGCATTTAACCTTAAAATTTACAAAATTTTCTTGTGGGGGAGCATGCCCCCGAACCCCCCTAGAGGAACAGCTCTCAACATAGTTAAAATTATATGGGAAAGAACAATAATTTATGAACTTTAAAACAAATTCTGTTTAAATCAGTAAAACCGTTAGCTTATTTGGCCTACAAGACATGTTGCCAGGGGAAATTGTGCCCTACAAGACATTGTGATGACACCCCCCAAACTCAAATTCAAAATTGAATAGGAATTTAGTAGTCATTCTCAATTCAATTCTGAATTGTGCACAAGCCTGTTCCATAGTAGGAAAAAATACATACTATGGTAGTCAATGGGGATTGAGATCCAAATTTCTTCCTTTGTGTTCAGCAGAACAAATAAACACATAAAGGGCGTAAATAATGATAGAATTTTCATTTTTGGGTGAACTATCCCTTTAACATTAGTTAACAACAAGCAATAGATGTGTTACAGCACTGATTAATCTTAATTACTGCTAGTTAATAAAAATACAGCTGTTCATTGTTTCTTCATTTTAGTTCACATTACATTAAAGGTGTATTGCGCAACATTTCATGTTAAAAATAGCCGTTTTCTAACCCATACATGCTTAAACAATCGCCTGATGGGCTGAATGAGCCCTTCTCTGATCACTGAGATTGCCTCTATAATCCTGTAAAGTAAAATAAATAAGAGGGATTCGGGCTTGAATCTGAGACTGGCCGTGACGTCATGGACGTTCACGCTCGCCTGGCTATGTGCCTATGTCTTGCAGGTAGTGTATTCGCCGCCATTCTCGGAGAAGACAACTCGAGCGACACAACTTTGGTCAACTTTCCACAAAAGTAGAAGATGGATTCAAAGGGGCTGTTTAGCCTACATCTGGTCACTTCATTCGTTTTCTGTGATCGGATAGCTATTCGATCGTGAAAAGACCAGGTTGCCCTCCGAAACGCATTCGAGACGGATTTGAATCCGATCGCTCAAATCACTTGAGGACGTGGTCTGGGCCGTATTCCAGACAAAACTGGACAAGTGTAAATGCATCTGGTTGTTGAAAGCAGGCTATAGGTTATGTCATGTTATTTTAGTCATATATGCATCACCTTAGATGAGCAGCTGAGCGTCTATTCATAAAGCCAGCATGCCGCAATCTATCACAAATCAAAGTGAAAGTAAGTCGCAGATGCTTAGCACTACCATCTTCATTAAAAGTAAAGAAATGAAATGATCTTACCAGGGCTGTTGCCGCTCTCTCTTATTGCTGTCTTTGCTGATTTTGAAATTAGCCGATGATTAATAAAATGCAGCTCATATCTGTTGCTTTCGGTGACGTGCACTTCATGAATTCTGTAGCCTATATAGCGCGGGAATTGAAGATCAGATTGTATTCGTTTTGCAAAAACACATTTATGTGACCAGGTGTAATGGAATTGTTTTGATAAATCAGATAGCTATCCGATCTGAGAAAACACATTGTGGCCAGGTGTAAACAGCCCCAAAGAGACCGGCTTGTAGTTCATTCCAAACCCCAACGCAAACTCCACGTGAGACAAAGAAAACAACTTCTGTCTGTCCAGTGCCAGTCGTCGGAGATCTCCGGTCTGCTCTAGGGCTCAAACGGTGTCACAGATCCATCTGCGTCAGCACCAGACACCTTCACTCCGCCCACTCGTTCCAGCTCCCCAGCATTCTAATCACTGTCACCTGTCCGCTTCAATCACCGTCCCAATCATCCTCCCTTTATAAACTCACTCCTCACAGTCACTCACCGTCTGGTCTCGTCGACACATCGGCTAAAGACTCCCGCTACTTTACAACTTGCTTTGAGATATACTTATCCGCTTACTTCAGTCCTGTCTGCTTCTCATCCGCTCCTGGTCCCCGGTCTTCCTCTGGTCATCTGTCCGCTGCCTCAGCTCTCCATCTTCCAGTCCTGCTCAAGATAAGATATACATCATCAGACTGTTTCCCGATCCATTACCGAACTTTCTCCATTATATACTCACCTGCTGTCTACCATATCACCTGTCTCAATAAACCTGGTTTACACTCATCCATCTGTGTCCTTCTAGTCTGTGACAGAAGACCAGACCTACAAAATGCTGCAGTCTACCCCGAGCACCAGCGCTACACCGACCCCGCCTTCTCCTACCATTCCCCAGACCAGCGCTTCAGCACTCGCCACGTCCACCGTAACCACTTCTTCCTCATCTGCCTCTGCCAGTCCCATGGCCCAACCAGCGCCCTTCTCTGGTGAGGAGGAGGAGTGCAGCGGCTTCCTCTTGCAGTGCGAGCTCTATATGGAAATGAACCCGTTATCCTTCCCCACTGAACGATCGAAAGTGGCCTTCTTCCTCTCACTCCTGCGAGGTCGAGCGCTCAACTGGGCTCATGCCCTTTGGAAAGATCGCAGCCCAGAGGTGAGGTGTTCACCGAGGTGTTTTCGCAGTCTGCACACTCCATCTCAGTCCAGGATCAGCTGTACCGTCTGAGGCAAGGGAGATCGTCCGTCGCCTCATATGCGCTGCAATTTCGCACCCTCGCCGCTACTCTCGGTTGGAATGAGTCTGCACTTATCACCGCCTACCGTCATGGTCTAAATCCCGATATCCGCCTCCAGCTCGCGGTTTATGACGACAACGTTGGTATTGAGAGCATCATCCAGCGATCCATTCGCATTGATCAGCGACGCACTGCTTGCCAGCTCGACAGCCCTGCACCTCCAACTCCTCGTCCAGTGCCCCGCCACCACAGTACTCCAGCACCAGAGCCCATGGAAGTCGGTACCACTCATCTGTCAGTATCCGAGAGAAATCGTCGCATCTCCAACGGGCTGTGTCTATACTGTGGAGCCTCCGGCCATCTGCTCGCCTCGTGTCCCGTCCGCCCTCCCCGACCAACTATGAGTACGGTCCAGTTACCATTGCCCATCTCCTCCTTGAAATTCACTGCGGCCACTATCACTTATCTGAACCGTTCCATTTCAGTCCAGGCGCTGATCGACTCCGGATCAGCGGCCAACTTCATCGCCCTGTCCACATTAAACCGGCTCCAAACCAAGCAACGAACCATCCCACAAAAACTTCAAGTCCAAACCATTCTGGGACAGCCACTAGGACGCGGCCGGGTTGGACATCGTAGCCCCGACCTGGGCTTGGAGATCGGCTGGCTCCACAGGGAGGAGATATCCTTTCTGGTGCTGGAGGGCTCGACGGCTGAGATCATCCTGGGACGCCCCTGGTTGGAGACCCATTCGCCTCATATCCAATGGTCTACCGGCGAGGTTCTACGGTGGGGTCAGGACTGTCTCCAGCGTTGTCTGCCCTCCTTGATGAAAACCCCGGTTCCTACCACCACTCCGCCAGTTCCGCTCTCCACCACCTCCGTGGAGAATCCCCCAGTGGAACCTTCTTCCGAGATCCCCTCTCCCTACCGGGCGTTCCAGGATGTCTCCCGGTTCGTCAAAGGATGCTCAGTCTGTGCCATGGCCAAGGTTCCCCGTCATCTCCCAGAAGGCAAGCTGGTCCCTCTCCCTATACCCACTCGACCTTGGTCTCATCTCGGAGTGGACTTCGTCACCGACCTGCCCGTGTCTAACAACCACACCTGCATTCTGGTAGTAGTGGACCGCTTCTCCAAGGCGTGCAAACTAATTCCCCTTCCAGGTTTGCCAACAGCCCTTGAAACAGCAGAGGCGCTGTTCCAACACATATTCCGTAACTTTGGGATCCCCGAGGACGTCGTCTCCGATCGAGGACCCCAATTCATCTCCCGAGTGTGGAGGGCGTTCTTCAACCTTCTGGGAGTGACCGTCAGCCTCACTTCAGGATACCATCCCCAGTCAAACGGCCAGACTGAGCGGAAGATCCAGGAGATTGGGAGATACCTGCGGTCATACTGCCACGACCACCAGGACTGCTGGAGCCGTTACCTGCCCTGGGCCGAGTATGCGCAGAACTCCCTCCGACAAACCACCACCGGCCTCACTCCGTTCCAGTGCATACTCGGCTACCAGCCTCCTCTATTCCCCTGGTCAGGAGAACCATCTGACGTCCCAGCAGTCCACCATTGGTTCCAGACGAGCGAGAGAGTCTGGGACCCAGCTCATACTCACCTCCAGCGGGCTGTTCGGAGACACCAGAACCAGGCCAACCTCTGCCGTACCGACGCCCCTCCCTACCTTCCCGGACAACTGGTCTGGCTCTCCACCCGGGACATCCGTCTCCGACAGCCCTGTCGGAAGCTGAGTCCCAGATATATCGGTCCTTTCGCGATACAGAGGCAGATCAATCCCGTCACCTACCGACTGGCACTCCCCGCACACTACCGCATCGCACCCACCTTCCATGTTTCCTTGTTCAAGCCATACACTAACCCTCTCACTCCTTCTCCCCCAGGGTCTGGTGCTGTGGAGGTGCCCCCTCCTCCTGCTGACCCCGAAGACGACAACATCTACCGAGTTCATGAGATCCTCGACTCCCGACGACGGGGCGGCCGCTTGGAATATCTCGTGGACTGGGAGGGATTCGGTGCTGAGGAGAGATGCTGGGTCAACCGGGAGGGACTTTCACACCACACATCCAGATCGCCCAGCGCCCCGGAGCCGTGGTCGTCCCCGTCGTCGGTCCCGTCTGCCAGCTGGAGCTGGCCGTGGGGGGGGTGGGGTGGGGGGGGGGTACTGTCACGGATCCATCTGCGTCAGCACCAGACACCTTCACTCCGCCCACTCGTTCCAGCTCCCCAGCATTCTAATCACTGTCACCTGTCCGCTTCAATCACCGTCCCAATCATCCTCCCTTTATAAACTCACTCCTCACAGTCACTCACCGTCTGGTCTCGTCGACACATCGGCTACAGACTCCCGCTACTTTACAACTTGCTTTGAGATATACTTATCCGCTTACTTCAGTCCTGTCTGCTCCTCATCCGCTCCTGGTCCCCGGTCTTCCTCTGGTCATCTGTCCGCTGCCTCAGCTCTCCATCTTCCAGTCCTGCTCAAGATAAGATATACATCATCAGACTGTTTCCCGATCCATTACCGAACTTTCTCCATTATATACTCACCTGCTGTCTACCATATCACCTGTCTCAATAAACCTGGTTTACACTCATCCATCTGTGTCCTTCTAGTCTGTGACAAACGGGTCCTATACAAAGTAATAACTTATATTGTTCATGAACGTGTTTCCATAATTATACAATCATACGTGGATACAGTAAGCACATAAAACAGTTCAATATGGAGATAGATGGAAACAGAAACCGAAGTTTTCTACTACCCCTGTTTTCCCCTCACACACACATAAGTGTGTACTTGAATGCCCTTCTTTTCATATATTTTAAATGTCCTGCAGATTTATAACTGTATTACCTCATTATGACTGTAACAAAAGATGTGTGTCGCACAGTGTGCGGCTGATGATCCTTTGGTTATGAACAGCTCGTGCAAACGTACGTGTATATGTGTGTGTGAGCGCGCATGCAGTTTCGCTTGTCGCCAGAGGGGGCGTAGTTCTGCCAAAACTCAGATACTTGCGTTTAACTCCTTTAAAGGAGCTAATCTATCCGCATCAATCCGCAATCTATTGCAAATCAAAGTGAAAGTAAGTTACAGACATATATGACTAAAATAACATGACATAACCTATAGCCTGCTTTCAACAACCAGATGCATTCAAATCCGTCTCGAATGCGTTTCGGAGGGCAACCTGGTCTTTTCACGATCGAATAGCTATCCGATCACAGAAAACGCATGAAGTGACCAGGTGTAGGCTAAACAGCCCCTTTGAATCCATCTTGTACATTTGTGGAAAGTTGACTTAAGTTGTGTCGCTTGAGTTGCCTTCTCTGATACGCAGAATGGCGGCGAATACACTACCTGCAAGACATAGGCACATAGCCAGGCGAGCGTGAACGCGCATGACTTATTTATTTTACTTTACAGGATTATAGAGGCAATCTCAGTGATCAAAGAAGGGCTCATTCAGCCCATCAGGCGATTGCTTAAGCATGTATGGGTTAGAAAACGGCTATTTTTAACATGAAATGTTGCGCAATGCACCTTTAACTGATGTTAACAAATACAACCTTTGATTTTACCAATGTATTAGTAAATGTTGAAATGAATTTAACTAAGATTATAAATGCTTTAGAAGTATTGTTAATTCTTAGTTAATGTTAACTAATAAACCTTATTGTAAAGTGTTACCAATGATATTAGTTTTATTTTTTAAAGATTCAGTCTTTCAAATCACTCATACTTTATATCAAATCTATTGTTACAAAAGCATCGTTGTTGCTGAAAAATCATGGCTGTCCTTGAATTATTAGCTTATCTATATTTTAGTAAAAACAATTTTTATAATTTATATCCCACTTTGACTTTAGCTTGAAACACATAATATACCTGACAGTTAGAGGAATTAGTACCAGATTTATTTATTTTTACTAAAAGATAATAGGCAGATTTGTATTTTAAAATTAAACTGCTCTTGGCCATCCCCTAACATTACGGGCGTCTCAATACACAATTTTTCTAACAAAGAATTTACTTAGTTTTGCTGGTTTATGTTGTTGTGCATTTTTCAGGTTGTAAAAAAAAATAATAATAATAATTCACAATGTCATAAAAAAATCATCAGCCCTCCTAAATAGTGATAATGTGATGTCCCATTAAACTATTTTTATACATTTACCATCTTGTTGAGACATAGTCTGTGTAAGGAGGCCTAGAGCGGATCTCTCGAGCCAGTCCGAAATCAGCGATTTTCACCAGTTCTGGGCCCATACACAGCAAATTCTCTGGTTTCATATCCCGGTGAAAAAATCCTACAGGATAATGCCAAAAAGATAGTGAAAGTCACCATGCAAATTAGAATGCATCTTAATCTGTATTATTTGCACCCAATGCAAATACAAAGATATGGAGCCTATATAACACCATAGCTTTTTAAGATTTTAAGTAACAAATAACAAATACCACATTATACTTCGATTGTGTACATGGTGGGAAATTAATACCCAATACCAGTCAAATCCAGGTATTTTTTTGCCAGTGGCTGATATTTTTCCTTACCTGCCAGACACTGTGGTGGTCAACCTGATAGTCAGTAGTTTTGTTCAAAAGATGACCTACTCCATATAAATCATTTTGGGTTACGAGTGCAACCTTGGTTGTCTGAGAAGGGGAACGAGACACTGCCTTCTAGGACGCTAATGGGGAATGCCTCCATGACCGGTGTCTGAAGCATGTGTCAAAACACGACAATAACATTGGCTGACGACAGCTTATGAGTTTAAAATGGTGCCTCTAGCACACGTCATCCTATTTCATGTCTTTAGGAGCCATTTGTTTGTGACATTTCGAAGGCAGTTATGGGAGTGAAAGCTTTCAGGAAGTGTGTATATATATGTGTCAGTGCATCTGATGATACTTACAATCTGTGCATGATTTATTTGGTCGAGGAGCATGCTTGCTGCCTATACCTAGGACGTCACTACTGGTGCGACCAAAGGTTAAAGAGTGCCTGTAATACACGTCGTCCACTTCTTGCCTGAAAGAGATGTGGTCAGACATGCCTGAAACATGGCAACGAGATGCAGTGTCTTGTTCCCCTACTTAGGGAACCAAGGTTACATTTGTTACCCAAGACATTCCCTTTTAAATGGGAACTCGCACTGCGTCCAAGGACGCTAATGTGGAAGAAATGCCCACTCCACCATGCTGAAGAAATGAGTACAGTATGGCTGACATAAGTCAATGACTTCAACGGAACTAATACGGTGTCACAGTTCCTAAGGGTAAGCAACCAGCGGTCACCTTGACTTTATTCCCTAGGGCCAGAAACCCTGACTATATCGAGCAGCCTAGCTCAAGGCCTGGTTTTAAAAGAATACCCCAAAGGGAATATGGCCAAGGATAAAAAGCGAGAGAAGGTCTAACTATGTTCTATGCTTAGGACCACTTACCAAGGAGGCTCAAAAAAAGAACAAAAACTTGATACTGCTATACAGAAGAAGTTCTGGGGACCTCAGAAGAAGACTCTCTAAAGCGAGAGGAAGTCTAGCAACACCCACTTTGAAGACAGTTAACCAGGGAGGCTCAAAAAGAGCCTACAACCCAGTCCAGTGCCACCATTGAGCTCTCATGGAGGAGGCTTCAGCATAAAGACCCTCTATAGCGAGAGGAAAACTAACAAAGCTCTACGCTAAAAGCTCACAGAGAGCCACACAACTTGGACAGGTTATCTAATGTGTAGCTCTGGGGAGCAGATGTCAGCATGACAACTCCCTAAATCGAGATGAAACCTAACAACATTCCCTTTTTTTTGGGGGGGGGGTGTTCCACGAAGGAGGCTCACAGAGAGCCATAGAACCCGGTGCGGGGACCCCTGATAGGGGTCTATTAACGGAGGCCTCAACATTCTAAAGCGAGAGGACACCTAACAACACTCCACAGATAACCAATGAGTTCACTAGCATCACTGTTCACACCCTCCTAAGAGTGGAGGCCTCATGTCACCTCTCTAAAACAAGAGGAAGCCTAACTACATTCTATGCCAAGACTGCTTATCAAGGATGCTCAAAGGGAGATCTACAACCTAATACTGTTATCCTAGCGGAGCTCTGGGGAGTGGAGGTCTCAATAAAATATCTCTCTAAAACGAGAGGAGACCTAACTACGCTTCCACTGGAAGTCACTCCAGGGAGACTCATAGAGCCATACACATCTGAGGCATCACCAAGGCTGAGCTGTGAAAAGATTAAAATTCTTAACATAATGACTCTTAAAGGGGGGGTTGACTGCGATTTCACTTTTTTCATTTTAAATAGTGTGTAATGTTGCTGTTGGTGCATGAACAGTATCTGCAAAGTTGCAGCGCTGAAAGTTCAGTGTAAGCAGAGATATCGTCTTTTAAAAATCAGGAAGTATATTGCCTACAAAAACGACTGGATTGTGACTACATCTGGGTTATGGTACGTCACTAACCCACACATTTGCATCAACCACTCCCTTTTTACGGAAGACAGCTTCCAGAATCTCCACGAGTTCAACACCGGGATTCAACGAGAAACTGTAAACATGAAGCAGTTCCGACTTTAAAACCACAGTTGTTGGGCCACAACCTGTAAGTAGGCTAAGACTTAACCATTTTAAATGTATTTGCATGTATAATTCCAGACGTAACGTAACGTTAGCCTTGTGTTTTAGTTTTCTTCAAATGCCAGCGCTAGCTTTATTGCTACTAGGCTATTAGTTATGCTATTTTGTGTCTACGACAAACACGTACAAACATGAATTTTGTGCTAATGTTGTAAATGTATTTTTCATGTATATATGTTTTATGACGTTATTTTCGATTTGATCAAGAACGTAAACTTGCCACCGCTGTTTAAGTATAACATTATTAGTAGCCAGTCAGTTGCTATTGTTGCCAGTCAAATGCTATTGTGTTAAACAAACGTGTATAAAGTTAAAAAATGTAGCAAATTATCATTCAGAAACGTTTATTAAGAGCCGTGTGTGGTGTGGTTCTGTTTGACTCGCTTCATCGCGGCTTTCTCGGTCTGATTCTGGGTCATACTGATGATACTGCAGTTCGACGCATATTTACATCTGGACCGGAGCTCATGACGTGCCGTAAAGGTAATGGGGGTTAACTTTCCGGACAACGTAAGCGACAGTTTAGCCAATCACAACTCACCGGACCAAGCTAACCAATCTGAGCCCACGACGTGTTTCTGAGGGAGTGTTTTCATAGAATCAGGAAGTGAACCGCTCGTTCGAGGATAGGGGAGAGCGCGGCTGACAATAAACGTGAAGTTTATGAAAAATAAGACTTTTTAAAAACAAAAAACCACGAATACATGTTATATTGCACCCCATAAACACAATCATGCAAATAAAAAAAGCAGTCAACCCCCCCCTTTAAAATGAGAGTAGACCTAACCAGTTCTGCCAAGGAGGGAATTGGAGATGGAAGGAAGCATCACATTTGTGTGCAGGAAAGCCCTGGTCTGACCAACTGCAGTTTACACTCTGCCATTCAAATGTGATATCACACGTTCGGCAGACGTTCGTCGGCAGTGGCTCAGTGGTTCATGTGGGTTGTCTACGAACCGAAAGGTTGGTGGTTCAATCCTCAGTTCCACCTGACCAAGTGTCGAGGTGTCCATGAGCAAGACACCTAACCCCAGCTGCTCCCGACGAGCTGGATGGCGCCTTGCATGGCTGACACCGCCGTCGGTGTGTGAATGAGTGTATGAATGGGTGAATGTGAGGCAAATGTAAAGCGCTTTGGTGGCCATTAGGTCTATAAATAAATGCAGTCCATTTACCATTTCGGCAGAGTGGGAGTCTTTAACGTCAATGCCTCTCCCAGCAAGAGGTAGCTGGCCAGCATCTCTTCAACTCGTGGCATTGACTGATATCCTCTCACGCATCCCCTCCACTCTCGCATAATTTGCATGCTGAAATGGATGAATGCAGGCCGAATATGGTGTCTTCCATGATATTTCAATCTCAGCATGCAGATCAGGAAGATCAGCAGATCAGCTCTTGTAAGAAGGCTTACAAGAGCTGGATGACTATTATTACAAATATTTTCTCAAGCTGCCATGACAGATCTAATCTGTCTGTTTCACAAGACATAACCTCCAGCAACTTGTCATATGTGGGGAAGGCAGGGTGTGAGGATTCAGAGACAACATTTTCATTAACAGCCACATCCTGCTCTTCTCGCTGCTGGATCATAGGATGTGAGTGATAGCACATCCCCCTCGAAGACAGAGCAAGCATGCTCCTCGACCGAGTAAGTCATGTACAGATAGTACAGAAGTATCATCAGGTGAACCGACAAAGATGTACAACACACTTCCTGAAAGCTTTCACTGCCATAACTGCCTTCGACACGTCACGTCACGTCACATACAGCTCCTGAAGACACGAAATAGGATGACGTGTACTAGAGGCACCATTATAAACTCAGGTCGCACCTTCAGCCAATGTTATTGTTGTGTTTTGTCATGCCGGAGGCATTAACCATTAGCATCCTAGGATGCAGTGCAAGTTCCCATTCGGAAGTGAACTGCTTTAATTAAGCTTCATTAAGCTTCATTATGCTTAAATTCATCTTGTGAAAATGTGTATATTTTAAATAGATTTTTCAAAAATATTATTCATATCTTTAAAGGGGTCCTATTATGCCCTTTTACAAAGTCTTGATTTTGTTTTTGAGGTGTACTAACTAGAATATTTTTAATTACACTATTACATTATCTCTAGTCTGGATAAACATGTTGTTTCGGGGAAGCCCCTACTTCCGAAATGGGCTGTGATTGGTTAGCTGGCCCAGTGTGTTGTGATTGGCAGCGTTTAGCACTTGTTCAGGAAATGTAACGCCCCTCCATAACCGTGATCTCTACTCAGATGTAAATATTAACGATGGCGTCAATTTCAAACCATTTCGAGCCCAATTCAGACCCTGAAAATGTTACACAAGAGGATCGTGCTGAACAAATTTAAGCACAGACTTTGCAAGTAGCACAGATTTCACAAGACATTTCAGAGTAGTATGTTTGTTTTGTAATTTTCTTATAACTACGATGTTATCCACCATTTAATCACATTTGTCGGAAAACTATGGTAATACAAACAGAAATCGATCACAATTAGGTATGCTCATTAGGGATGGGCATGATTAATCGACGATCGATTATTGATCGTTAAGCATTTCGTCGATCACGTCAATTTGTTATCGATTATCATTAAACTAATGCTGCTGCGTTGCGTAGTGTGAGTGGAAAGTGAACGTGTTCCCCGGGCTGGTCATGTTAGCGCGGAGCTACCTGTGCATCCCGGCAACGTCAGTCCCCTTATCAGAGCGGTGTTTTCAGCGGCTGTGAAGTGAAGATCGTTTGAATTACATATTTGTGTGAAAAGTGTTGAAAATGGTAAAGATGCTAATCGGGTTAACCTGTCTATGGCGTTTTCCATGTTAAGTTAGCATTCATGCTAATCGCTATACAACCATGTGTGGTTAATGGGTAAATTTATGTTACTGTATTTTGTGTTTTTCAAAATGATATTAATCCTGTGTTAATAAGAATTTAACCTATTCAAGTTTTTTAATAAGTACATTTTGTATTTCTGTATTGCAGTTTCACAGTGCTTCTGATAATGCATCCTAAACATCCTACTGCTTCCTGGGTGTTTATTGCAGAACCTGTTAGCTGTCTGCCAAGCTAGAAGTCCTACCCAAATTTTAGTAAGGGCAGAATAGTGTGAAAATTTGATGTGAATCCAGGTTCTGTAGTTGATCTATTCTGCTGTTAGCACATTAAAATAAGCACATTAATTTTTTTTTTATTATTATTTTTAACGAGTCACAGACACTCGTAAATTTTATTTTTATTTAATTCAATAGGCTATTATAATCTTATCAGTTAACAGATAACGAGTGGCGGTTGTTGGTCAGGAAAATTAACCGAAATGAGCATCCCTAATCACAACTGGATAATTGGATCATTTTCCAAAGGGCCGGTGGTGAACAATCTTAGAAAAGCAAGAGCTTACAAAAGCTAAAGTAAACAACACTACATCAATGCTATAATGTTGGTTAGCAGGTTAGCAGGCTAGCGGAGGCAAAACTTTGCCCATCATTTACATCATTAACTATCATAGCAGCTACATAAAGCTTATAATTGGAACTACTAATAGAAAAACAACTACAAATGATAATACATATGTATATCATGTCATATCATGTCTCACAGACATAAGTTGTGATTCATAAACAACGGATTATCCAGACAAACTGGGAATGGCTACGTCTTTCAGGAGAAGCTTTTGTGCTTATAGCCTGCATGTACTCTGTCTACTGTTCTCCGTAAAATGTGAAGCGCACAAACTTTGAGGTTATAATGTTCAGGAACAGTGTTAAAAAAATAAATTTTAACCTCTCTAAGTTCATCAGCCTTAGGACAAAATTTTCCGGGGTGGAAAAAACAGTGACACCACTCTAACACTCTTCATCTTCACTAGCCCAACTCAACCAGGCCTCTGCAACTTTTATTCAGTGTGTGGGGATTATTTAAATGAGGAACATTATGACTTCAAAAGATCAAGAAAGAGTGCATTGTAGTCTAAAAGAGCTGTTTGTTGTAGTTCTTGAAAAGGGAATTCTGTTCAATAAAATATCTTCCTTTGGAGTTAACTTTGAACTTTGTAATCTTGCAGATCTTTTTTATGCTCAAACATTACACAGTAAAGTTGAAAAAGTGAAGAAAAAAAAAATCATAATAGGGCCCCTTTAAGATATATAATGTCTTAAGGTGATTGGGCATTAACCAGCCTCTGTGTCTGGTGGGCAAAGGGTTCACCCCCTGACTGTGGGTGTAAAAAGATTTAGTTTTTTTTTTTTTTTTTTTTTTTTTTTTAAGAAAGCGGCAAAATTTAAAATGCATTTAAAATTTAAAGTTTTAAAATTTAAAACTATTTAAAATGTACCAATTAAGAATTTAGAAGGGTGTTATATAAAGCTCCTTAAAGCATTAGAGAAGAACAAATAAAAGTGTAAAGAAAAGGGGAAATCTTACCATGCTTGTGCACAAATGCCAAACCAGAAAGAACTTGAAACATGATGTTCCTTAGTTCATTCTCAGTAAACATCTTATTTTCCCTGATGTCAGAGAATTTCACACAGACAAGAAAGAGAGGAGAAAAGAGACAGGAGAAAAGGAAAAAAAGAAACAGAGGCAGAAGATAAGGAACATTATTTCACCCACAAGATGTGTGAGACTCAATGGTTTTCTGTTTTGTTACAGCTCTTGGGAAAATGGGACAAGCTGAGAAAGCTACCAATAAAATATGTATTATCTTCTTTCAAGAGATCATATCATGGAATGATAAATTCGATTTTAAGAGGTCTATGATAACAGACTGCCACTTGCAGAACTATAAATGGCCTTCACAGTACAAAAAGAACATTTATTGAAACTAAGCTATAAAATGGCTTCCGACCTTTCTGATGTCAGAAACTTGAAACATTAACATAGGACTAATCCCTCATTCACATCCACAACACCTTTTTCAAAGTTTAGTAATTCAATCTGTCAATTCAAGATAAGATAATAAGGCAGGATAAATCCTAGAAAAACAAACAATGTGTAAAAATGGTAAAATGGAAACAGCTGTTTCTGGCTGTGAGAAGAAACTGCTGCTTATCATTTCCTTCCAATAAGCAGAAACACTAATGCTAATTCACACTGCAACAGGCACTGACCAATGCATTTGGAATATGTTGGAATACCATAAATAGCCTAACAATGGCAACAAAAAAAAAAAAAAAAAAAAAAAAAAAAAGCTGATCCAACAAAACCAGATAAAACATGTCCAATACCGTTGGTTAGTGCCTGTTGGTCCAGTGTGAATGAGAAAGGAAAGGAGTTGCTAAAATTAATTCTGAATACAATCCCTAATCATTTTGGTTTGATCTTAACAGTTTGACGGCACATTTCAGCGACAACTCTTAATGTTATTGAGGGATGGGGCAATAAAGCAATACTCAACACACATCTACTGAACCATTTCTCATGGCAAGAGGTTAGCTAATCATAAGGCACCGACATAACAAAAAAATATTTTAATAAACATGATATGACCCCTTTAACTGCTTATAATACAAGGTGTCTGATGGAAAGTCATTGGCATTTCAGATTCAGATTTAGTTTAATATTTTGGCAGCTGAGATACTCACACATCCTGTCACCACAGAGATACAAGAACAACTGAGTCTTTAGCAGAAACAGTCCCAATAAAGATTCAGTCTGTAGTAGGTCTGTTTGATACTGGACTCAGACTCAGTTGTTCTAGTTTGTTGGACATGAATATGATGGCCCTGTGACCTACCATGCTTATGAATAAATGATAGTCCCTGCAATATCTGAAAGCTTATATTCCTGATGACTGACTCTGGGAACAATTTGGTTCTGGAGATAGAGAATCAGCACAGCTGTCAAAAAATCAATGTGCTGTTCAGAAGCCACAAAGATCATTTCAAAATATTGTGACCAAGTTTAAGTTTGACTTCATTAGTATGTCAAAGGCATCATGGGCACTTAATAATAGAAAACGGTAGATGTAATATGGAATCTATTCATACCTGTCTTTCATGAGCTGGTAGAGGTTTTCTTTCATGTATTCAAAGACAAAGTACAAGTGATCGTTCTCTCGTATCACCTCCTTTAACTTTACCACATTAGCATGATTCAGTTTCTTCAGTGACTGCAACACAGACATGAAGAAAAACAGCAGAAACATTATGAACACCCAGATTTAACAGTTTAACACAGTGTCCTAACCAGTACAACAGCGATACAGGCCTTGTGACAAGGCATTTTATTTTTGAAATGGTCTCTATTTCTGCAACATCACAGCTGGGACCAAGAAAAAAAAAAAAAAAAAAAAAAAAAAAAAAAAAAAACTGTGTGTGTCTAATGACAATGATAATCTCAGGTACTGATTATGTGCTTTGTATAATCATAAAAATGTTTAATTGTAGTTTTAATATTACTGTGCGTGACGTTAACACCCATCATGAAAGCAACAATGGATAGCATACAGTATATCAGATTTTGGAAATAAAAAAAATAAAGAACTTTCAAACTCTGAACTCTGTGTGAATAAACAACTATATTGCATGACAATTGTATACGTCAATAGGTATGTATTTTTAATTAAGTTAAATTTTGTATAAATTTGATAATTTAATTATTTACTTATTTACGAGTTTAAAGGGTTAGTTCACCCAAAAATGAAAATTCTGTCAGTATTTATTCACCCTCTTGTTGTTCCAACCCCGTAATACCTTCGTTCATCTTCGTAACACAAATTAAGATATTTTTGATGAAATCTGAGAGCTGGATCACTCCAGCATACTAGTCCATAGGCTTCTTGAGGAATTGAAACTTGCCGATGCTTCAGTGGCTCAATCTCAACTTTATCAATTGACGAGAATACTTTTTGTAAGCAAAAACAAACAAAAATAACGACTTTATTTCAACTATTCACTTCCTTCTCTATGGGCCTCTAGTCAGTTAACGTAGTGTGATAGCGTAGAGCTACGTCACACGTAGGCTCACTATCGGCCAACGCTGGTCATGTGTGTGATGCGGTGTGACGTACAACAACAGATCATACGCTGTTAAACTAGTAACCTGACTCGAGGCAGAGAGAGAGAAGTAAATGAATAGTTGAAATAGTCGTTATCTTTGAAGTCGTTATTTTTGTTGTTTTTTGCGCACAAAAAGTGTTCTCGCCATTTGATAAAGTTAAGATTGAGCCACTGTAGTCACTTGGACTATTTTAACGATGTCTTTAATAACTTTGAGGCCAGCGAGTTTCAATTCCTCAAGAAGCCTATACTGTATGGACTAGTATGGAGGAGTGATCCAGCTCTCAGATTTCATCAAAAATATCTTAATTTGTGTTCCAAAGATGAACGAAGGTTTTACGGGGTTGGAACAACATGAGGGTGAGTAAATACTGACAGAATTTTTATTTTTGGATGAACTAACCCTTTAAGACAGCACTTGTAAACCCCACCCACAGGCTCTTCTGATTGGCTGTTATTTGAGATTTTGCCATGTCTTGTAGCCTTGTCATGTCTGGTGTGGACAAATTGCTTATTGCTGGAATTTTGTCGCATCATGTCTGGTTAAGGCACAGTGTAGATTCTAAAGTTCTGATGACAATTTTTCTTTTTTGGATTATTATTCGTGAATTTGTGTACTCCAAGTTCATACCTTGACCTCTCTCAGATTCATGCACTCTTCCCAAGAGTAGAACTTCCTCTTCATTCTGTGAGAAACACAATGACTGATCTCATCTCCATGGTTTCATTGCTAACAAACAGCTTGTCAATCATCAGAATCTACCACCCCATTATTAATGGAACAATGCTAATATACCTTTACAAATGATTTCATCAGGTATGTTCATGATTACATAGAATCACTTCTTTAGTCTTAGAATCATTTCTAAATTCTGACTCAACAATTTGTCAGTCAGTGTCATCATTAAAAATGTTCACAGAAGTCTCTGTGTTGCTTTGTTCATACATTAATGTTTGTAGAAAAAGATAGTTATGTTGGTATTGCTGTTCATTATTATGTACTGTTCTGCTGGTGCATATAAATGAATAGGATTTATTTTCACTCTTGCTTGCGTTCCCTTTAGTGAAAAACATTCTGTACTTATTTTTAATAGATTCTTACAGTATTTTAGTTATTGCATTGACCTTTTAAAATCTACTTTGTACTTTTTCCGTTTCTACACCGGCCAGCCATTGTCCATGGCAGATGTTCCAGTTTCTAAAATATACAAAAAAAAAAAAGTCTAGAATTCTTAGTATCTTGTAATAGCCCCTCTCCAGCAGCTGATATACAGGACTGCATGAGAGCTGAGCCTGAAAGTCCAATTAGAATTATGTAAGAGAGAGCAGTGTTAATACTGAGACGGACTTGGCCACTTTCACTGCTTTCACCGTCACTCAGGTATCCATTTGCAAAGTGGCCGCCTGTTCCGGCACAGTTACTACACCTAAGAGGGACATTTATAATTCACATCACCTTCCCCCATTCAATGAGCAGAAGTACGTGTTGGGTGAACCTGAACTGCATAATTGCATCCCATAGGTAAGTCTGGGTGAGGTAGTACAGGGCTCCAGACTAACTTTTTTTACTAGGAGCGCTGTTGCCCATGACTGAAAATGTTAGGAGCGCAAGCAGAAAATTTAGGGGCACACCTTAAATCAGCTTGCAATGCAATTATTCAAATTTCCCCCAAAATAACTGTAATACTGACAAATTCTTTAATAATAAATAGACTTAACATTATGATATGCTGTTTCATTTTAAGTTCACAGGGCTCCAGACTTAAAGTTGAGGGCAGCATCACCTCAAATGAGAACTCACAGCGAGCTCTACAAAAAAAAAAAAAAAAAAAAAAAAAAATCTGGTAGCACTGGGGCTGACAATAAATCACTAAGCTTAATTTAGGGTGTAGATGAAATTAACTTTAGTTACTATCATTTATAATGTCTTAATATTCATTATTAAAAGTAGTGAAAATATGTATATGGATTATGGAGTGAAAATAGCCAATAAACATCCTACTGTTTACAATGGTAGCCTATTATTATTATTATTATTATTTAAGGGTTTAAATAAGAGTTTTCCAACATCTTAAAATTTTTCATTTTAGGACAATCTTTAAAGGATGAACAAAAAATGTATTGGTAATCACATAAAAAATACAAATATGATATTATTGAAGTGCTGGGAAAATTGTGTAGTAGGCTACTTGTATGCATTTGACTATTTCTTACACATTATCATATTTATGGTTAGAGTTAACTTACTACATTAGCCTAAATCCATGGTTCTGTTAGGCTGATATGTGGACTGAAAGCCTTCTATAAGTGTTTCTCCTGGTTTCCAAGTCAGCGCTGTTTGATCTGATATCTATGGTTTATAACAGAACTCTGCGCCGAATCGGAGTGTTTCTCTTTGGATCTCGTGGTGTTGATGTCATTAATTCTGAGGCGAATTCAATGGATTTCTTCACTGGATCTCCTAGTAACAGTGTTGCGCGAGCGAGATCGGCCCGCGACTGGCAAGTTCGGGGCTTTATTTTACTGTCAATGGTTCGGATCGCTGCTGCTGCTCCACGGTCCTAATCATATATGAGTGGCGTAATTTCGTTCCACTTTCATTTTTTTTGCATTCGCTGCTAGGTAACGACTAACGAGTCGATAGATTGCTGAATGCTCAGACGCACATCAGGTTGTGATATTTGTCTCCGTCTCCTTCCCACAGACGTTTTTGCGCGCTATTCTTGTCATGGATTCATTGATGCGCCCCTTCCATGCTTTACCATGCGTTTAACGTGTGGCAAATTTACTGGTCGCACAAGTGCAACTGGATGTAAAATTCAGTCGCACACTCTCAAATTTTGGTCGCAAAATGCGACCATTTGGTCGCAGTCTGGAGCCCTGTGGTAACTATTTTTACTACACTCACTAAAAGAGAAAATCCGAAGATACTGGAGGTCTGTGCAGATGCATTTTTGGTTTCTTTGATTGACGCACCTCTTTATGGCCACTAGCTCTCCAGACTCATTGCTTTTCCCCATCAGAACACTGCCGTAGGTCCCATCGCCCAGCTGCTTGTGTGTTGTGTAACGGTTCATCTTAACCTTCACCAGATGGACGTCTCTCCTCACAAATTACCTGATCATACCTGTCCTATAGACGAGCTTAATAGAAGTCCAGCAGTGAAAGCCACTCCATCCCACTTTTAGCACTAAAAACAAATAAAGAAAATGGAAGATCATGCACTGGTTAATGTATTGTAACTTTTATGTCAATAATCAACGCATTCTCACCCCAAGGCGTCACCTTTGACCATGCTTCAATATTTGACACTATTTAGGCACCCTTTAGTGTCAGTTACATGACGCGATCCTACGGCGTCATCTAACTGACGCTAAAGGAAAGCGTCAGGTAGATGACGCGGTTAGGTTTATGTCTGGGGTGGGGGTAGGGTACACGCGATCCTAGGGCGTCATCTAATTGACGCTAAAGGGCGCCTAAAGCGTCAGATATTGAAGCATGGTCAAAATGCTTCCCAAGGCGTCAGTTAGGTGACACCTTGGGGGTGAGAATGGGCTGCAATAATACACCTGCAACGAGTAAAACGAATGTTCCGCCCAGGACAAATAAAAGCAGCATCAAACAATTTATTAAGCAGCCAAGAAATACGTTGTGTCAGAGCGTAATGTTAGATGATGTCGAGCCCAAAAAGACAGTCTTAATTTTAACAGTCAAAGAAAATATATTTTATATATATATTATAATATATTAATATATATTATAATATATAATATATATATATATATATATATATCTTATATTCAGGGTTGTCTTATATTCGGAATAATGCGGTATGTAAAAGTCCTGTATTATGTTGCGTAAATGTAATTTATTGACATTAAAGGGATACTTCTGTAACGTACGGACAGAGACGGTCGGATCCATGTGCAGCACTTTATTAAGACAAGCAGACATGAAAACTGGCAAACAGTTAAACAAAGGGGCAATCCAGAAACTCGTGGTCTAAACAGGCAAAGGTCGAGGCAGGCAGCACAGGTTCGAGAGCAGTCCAGGAAACAGGCAAGGGTCAAGAGTCCAGGGAAACACGGAGACACAGAACAGGGAATAACGCTCGGAATTGTACGCTTACAGGGTAACAAGACTTCGCAAGGGACACAGGGAAAACTCAGGCTAAAATAAGGAACTCAATAACCAATGATGAAACACAGCTGAACATAATGAAACACAAAGAGTCCAGGGGAAACAAACATGGGGAGAGGGTGCCCTCTAGTGGCTCTCGAGGGCACCACGGCTGCTGATCGTCACATAACCCCCCCTCTAAGGAGCGGCTTCCAGACGCTCCTAAGAGCTCCGGGGGGAGGTCGACGGGGGCTGGGATGGAGGGCCAGGCCCATGGAGAGGCAGGAGGCCAGGCACATGGAGAGGCCTGGGGCCGTGGAGCGTGGGTGACCAGGAAGGAGCAGGACGTGATGGCGGCCAGGGCGGAGCAGACACAGGCGAGGTCCATGACAGCCTCGCCTCCATGGCCCTCACGGACTCAGAGGTCCATGTCAGGATCACCTCCATGGCCCCCACAGAGTACCTACTGCCCCCCCCCAAAAAATACTTGGGGAAATTCACGGGAGGAGCCTCTGGGTGGTGAACTGGTACAGGAAAGGCCTCCCGGAGCTTGAAGGGTGCAGGCAGAGCGAGGCGCAGAGGCGGGGCCGGCAGAGCGAGGCGCAGAGGCGGGGACGGCAGAGGCGGGGCCGGCAGAGGCGGGGCCGGCAGAGGCGGGGCCGGCAGAGCGAGGCGCAGAGGCGGGGCCGGCAGAGCGAGGCGCAGAGGCGGGGCCGGCAGAGCGAGGCGCAGAGGCGGGGCCGGCAGGGCGAGGCGCAGAGGCGGGGCCGGCAGGGCGAGGCGCAGAGGCGGGGCCGGCAGAGCGAGGAGTCTGGGCACGCTCACCGGGGCCTGGCGAACCAAACGAGTCCTCCTTCTCCTCCTGCGGCGGCGCGTCACAGGGCTAGACACACTCGCTGGGCTGGACAGCTCACTCACTTGAACTGGAGATGCAGCGCTCACTTGAAGAGGAGATGCAGCGCTCACTTGAAGAGGAGATGCAGCGCTCACTTGAAGAGGAGATTCAGCGCTCACTTGCAGAGGAGATTCAGCGCTCACTAGAAGAGGAGATTCAGCGCTCACTAGAAGAGGAGATTCAGCGCTCACTAGAAGAGGAGATTCAGCGCTCACTTGAAGAGGAGATTCAGCGCTCACTTGAAGAGGAGATTCAGCGCTCACTTGAAGAGGAGATTCAGCGCTCACTTGAAGAGGAGATTCAGCGCTCACTTGAAGAGGAGATTCAATTACTTGAACTGAAGACTCACTGGACAGACTGAATTCAACACTGGACACACTTGATTCACTCGGCTCAGCACTTGACTCACTTGACTCGGCACTCGATTCACTCAGCTCGGTATTTGACTCACTTGATTCACTCAGCTCGGCACTTGACTCACTCGAGTCGGCTGGCACGCGCTCAAACTCCGGTTCGACCCGCGACACCTCCGCTGTCTTAGAAACAGCACTTTTAACAGGGCCAGTGCGGGATACGGGCTCGAGGGGTCCGACATGATGAGTGGTTTTGGCAGGAACGATATGCTTAGAAGCGCCTCTGACGGTCCTTAAGGGAGGATCAAACAGTTTAGCGAGCTGAGGCTTATGCGGCGTGCGGAGTGAGTGAGAGAAATCCGCCGCATACGAAACTCCCCGGCGCAGGGAAAAGAGCAGTTCCTCGAGACCCTCCTTTTCTGCGGGGAGTTCAAAAGCCTTTCTGAACAGGGCGGTAAACACGTCGAAAGGAGGAAACGACATCCGACCTGGTTCCCAAAACGTGCCTGCCCACTCCAGAGCCTTCCCAGTCAACAGTGAGCAGATGAAAGAAACGCGGTCGGTATCCGAGGCGTATAACTGGGGCTGATGTTTCATATATAACCTGCACTGCTGAAGAAATCCTTCACACGCTTCAGGTGAGCCATTAAACTTCTCGGGAAACGGCGTACTGGAATTACTGCATGCGGTACTCACACAGGGTTGCGATGGAACAGGTGCAGCGGGAGCTTGGGCTTGATTAGTGCTTGTGCTCTGCGGAGACCATGACTGCACGGAGCTTGCTAGTTCCTCGAGGAGAGAAGTTAGTCTCGCCAGCTGAGAACTATGAGAGGCTAGCATTGAAGCTCGGGTCTTGACCACGGCGGATAGATGCTGAAAGTCTGCTGGATCCTCGTTTGGCGAAGTCTTCTGTAACGTACGGACAGAGACGGTCGGATCCATGTGCAGCACTTTATTAAGACAAGCAGACATGAAAACTGGCAAACAGTTAAACAAAGGGGCAATCCAGAAACTCGTGGTCTAAACAGGCAATGGTCGAGGCAGGCAGCACAGGTTCGAGAGCAGTCCAGGAAACAGGCAAGGGTCAAGAGTCCAGGGAAACACGGAGACACAGAACAGGGAATAACGCTCGGAATTGTACGCTTACAGGGTAACAAGACTTCGCAAGGGACACAGGGAAAACTCAGGCTAAAATAAGGAACTCAATAACCAATGATGAAACACAGCTGAACATAATGAAACACAAAGAGTCCAGGGGAAACAAACATGGGGAGAGGGTGCCCTCTAGTGGCTCTCGAGGGCACCACGGCTGCTGATCGTCACAACTTCACCTCTGAAAAGATGAATGTGTATTTAAAATTGGTCATTTATGTAGAAGAAATGTGAAATTATTTTTGAATTTGGAGCTTTCTAGACTGAGAAAAGCCAGAAAATGTATTTTTGGCTTATGTGGATGAAAGACAACAACTCCCAGAATGCACTGGCTTCGCTGCCCTAGCCACAGCAACCGGTAACAGAGCGCAGTAGTTAAACAACAAGTCTAGAAAAAGAAAAAATGGTAATCCCTACAACTCGGATTTCTTCTACTAAGTTACTCAGCTTTCTCCACAGAACAAGAGCCTGCTAGCTTAGTTTCCAAAAGCTTTGTACATTCTGTGAGTGAGATCCCACCCTCGGTTGTAAACATGGGGAACAGCCCCTACTACTGACTGTAGTCTTTAGCCTCTGGCCAAAAAATCATCCGACGATAAAAAAATGATGATTTTTGCATCATCGGAGGATATTTTCCAGACAAAAAAAAAATAAAAAATACATAAATACTCTCGTCTCAGGGGGATATGAGGGTGGAAAGCATGGTAATTTGAAAATACAACAGGTTTTCTACTAATACAAACCTTGTAATGCTAAATCCTGAAGTACCCCTTTTATCAATGCTTGAAAATATTACTGATAGCAAATTAATTTGAAGAACTATTTCTGATGTATGTGCACAGTTTGTATGTAGTTTGTTTATTAATGGTTGTTGACGCATAACATATCCATAGACATTTTTTTTTTTTTTTTTTTTTTTTTTACATTTCAGTATGGTCTGGATGAAATTGAAGTTCCGACCGACTTTACTACAGTATTTCCGTGTGAAATGGCTATCAAACAAGTTATATGAAACAATGGTTTTAAAAAATAATAAACAACATTAGCAACAACATGCTTGAAAATAAATAGGGTCAATTTTGATTTCATGACAACATTAAAATTGATATAAAGTACTTATCTGATCATGACATAAACTAAGTTTTCATCATTTGCCTTTTATTAAATATGCCATGTAGTTTCTTAGTTCATATGAGGCCATAAAAGGCACATGAATAGTTATAGGAAATTAGAAAAGTGTTGTCAAAGATATTTTAAAATGGAGCACAGCATGTCAAACCCATGTCATTACCAATTTAATGAGATCTCTAAAAGGAGATGCTATACAACAATCAAACATTTACAAATAAAACTTGCCTGGGAGCACAGTGAACCTTCTAAGTGTTGTATTTTGGCCTTCGACTGGTTATTTGAGAAATGCCATCTCATGTGTTCCTGCATTATTGCTGTATGGGACAGCACACTACAGCAACTGAACACATGCCTGATAAAGAGGTTATTGGACAATTACATAAATTTCTTCAATTATTGATCAGATGAAGGACCTGCACCTAGACACGACCACAACACAGCCCTGAAGTGTCAGCAGAGACAGTGTCAACTGGACTATCCTGAAAAGGCCTCATAGGGTCTGTTTACACCTGGCCACTTTATGCGTTGTCTCAGATCAGATAGCTATCTGTTAGATTTATCTAAATGATTCCATTTACAGCTGGTCACATAAATGTGTTTTCGCAAAACGGATATACTGTTAATCTGATCTTCAATTCCCACGCTAAATGCAGATTTAATGGAGTTCACTCCACCAAAAAGCAACAGATATGAGCTGGAATTTATTGATCATCAGCAGAGTGGCAACTGCCCTGGTAAGATCATTTTGTTTCTTTACTTTTAATGAAGATTATTTTTATTGTGTTTAAGGGTGATTCTTCAACTATGGTACTCTTTGAGCTAGACAGTTTCAGAAAATAAAAACATTTCTACAAACAGTTTTTTTAGTATCATTGGTTTCTCAATATGTCTAAAAACCTTCCCTTAAGTTGGCTGAGATTATTTGTATTGAATAATATATATATATATATATATATATATATATATATATATATATATATATATATATATATATATATATATATATATTGGCAAACGGTCAAACGGTCATTTCCATCACATAGAAAACAAAAAAACAAAAAACAAAAAAACCTTTTTGTTTGTTTTTACATTTAAATGAGAGGACGCTGGCGTGTCTGTCGCCGCTTCTCACGCACACAAACAAAAATAACGCACTACTCCAAGCTACTCTGTGATTCTTCTCCGTTGCTTTATCAAAGCTGGACTATACTTCATGCTACTAGTTGGATTAATTTCCTCACATGCTGCAACCCTTTAGCTGTTGTGCTCTGGCTGTGCTACAGGATCCGTTAAACCTGTGGTTTTTCCAGCTGCTACACTTCCTTGCAATCGGACGATTTTCAAACTGTGAACACTGTAATTACCTCCGTCAACGGCTTGATCCTCCACAGTATTCTCTGCTGAAGCCTAGTCGTGATGATCTGCGGCTTGTAAGCTACTAGCTAGTGTTGAGCAAGCTAGCGTTTTCCTCTGGTGCCATGGCATTCCTAAGATACTGCGCTCTGGAACTCAAGAATCTCAACTCGCACATCGTACCGGGCAACGGTAGCCTTGTGATCATTAAATCTCTCCATCTCTTACGCCGCCCCCCCTATGTGCACAGGGCTGTTCGGCATAAGCTTGTTTACGTGGATACATCCCAGACTATTCCTGTTGTTCGGTCTATCACTACCCGGCGGCAACGTCATCAGAACGAGCCGCGCATACACCTTTTGAATCTCCAGCCCGTTGAACAGGCTGCTGACGCCACTTCTCATGCCAATTCATCTGTCCTGAAGTCTGTTTCATTCATGTTGCTGAACACTCGATCACTAAATAACAAAGCACCACTCATACATGACATTATAACTGACAGGAAACTGGATTTTCTGTGTTTAACTGAAACTTGGCAGAACCAAATGGACTTAATTGCGCTTAACCAAGCTACGCCCCAAGGCTATAGTTACATTCAAAAGCCACGTAGTTCTGGACGGGGTGGGGGACTGGCTGTTATCCATCATGAAGATTTCCATATAAAAGAATTTCCAGTACACACCTCCTCATTTGAGTGCATTCATTTTGCTTTGACCGGGCCACTGCGGCTACAAGTGGTCCTTGTCTATCGCCCGCCAAAGGCATCTCCTAGTTTCCTGCCGGAGCTCTCTGATCTCCTTGCTCTAATCTGTCCCACCTTTCCATCTACTGTCTTACTTGGTGACTTTAACATTCATGTTGATTCCAGTAATGCCTACACTGTAGAATTTTTGTCACTACTGGACTGTTTTAATTTTTCACAAGATGTCAATGGCCCAACCCATGCTAAAGGTCATACACTGGATTTGGTATGCTCCTTGGGTATAACCCCAACCCATCTGCAAACTGTCGACCTAGCTATTTCTGATCACCTTGCCGTTATGTTCTCTATTTCTCTACACACACACAGGAAGTGTGTGAAAAGGACCATTGCATATCGAAACATCAAACAAGTGTGCATAGATAATTTATCATACCCTTGCAGGCCAACTTATCAGCCGTCCTCCATCCTGTACCGTTGATGATTTGGTCACTCACTACAACCGGGCCCTGTCACATAGTCTGGACTCTGTTGCCCCCCTCATCACTCGATCCGTCTAATTCTCCTCTCCTTCTCCCTGGTTCACTGCTGAACTCCGCGCCATGAAGGCTAAAGGACGGAGGCTGGAAAGGTACTATAAAAAATCTAGCCTGACTGTCCACCAGCTGGCCTACAAGAACCACGTTAAGAGCTACAAAGATGCTCTATCCATGGCGAAGAATAACTACTACACTACACTCATTGGCAACCAACAACATCATCCTAAACAGCTTTTCTCCACCATCAACCGCCTACTCTGTCCACCCGACCCTCCTCAACCCTCTGATGCTGCTGGGCTATGCTCTAGATTCCTGGTTCATTTCCAGGATAAGGTTGAAACCATCCACCAACAACTGCAGCTGTCCAGCTTATCGCAGTCAACCACACTGCCATTGTCTGACACAAATTTTTCAACAGCTCTCGCGCCTCAGGACTGCCTCTCCTCTTTCTCCCCGCTCAATACAGCTCAAGTTTTTGAGCTAGTATCAAAAGCAAAGGCCACAACCTGCAAACATGATCCTATGCCGACAGCCTTGGTTAAGGCATGTCTTCCAACTTTGGGTCCAACACTGGTCAACATCATTAACACCTCGCTGTCATCTGGGATGGTCCCCACCAGCTTCAAAACTGCTGTGGTGATCCCTAAACTTAAAAAACCGGGCCTGAACCAAGACGACTTAAACCATTACCGTCCTATCTCAAACCTACCTTTCATATCTAAGTTATTGGAAAAGGCTGTGGCTTCCCAACTTAACCATCACATGCTACAGCACAATCTCTACGAGCCTTTCCAATCTGGTTTCAGGACACATCACAGCACAGAAACTGCCCTCATCAAAATCACAAATGACCTTCACATGGCAGCTGACTCTGGCCATGTCAGCATCCTGATACTCCTTGACCTCTCTGCAGCCTTCGATACAGTCTCCCACTCCATTCTTCTTACACGTCTCTCTGAACTCATTGGCCTTACTGGTACAGTGTATTCCTGGTTTAAATCCTATCTCACTGACAGGCAACAATACGTCACCCTCAAGGGGATCTGCTCTAATTTGGCGCCGGTCCTGCATGGCGTGCCACAAGGATCGGTCCTAGGCCCACTGCTATTTAATATTTACATGCTGCCACTTGGGATGATTGTCCGAAAGCATGGATTACACTTCCACTGCTATGCTGACGACACTCAGCTCTACATCAGCACTAAGCCTTCTACTTCGCTTCCACCAGTGCCACTTACTAACTGCCTGAAGGACATAAAGCACTGGCTGGACAATAACCTCCTCAAACTGAACAAAGACAAAACAGAACTCATGGTGTTCGCCCCGCTGTCACTTCTTAAAAAAGTTGATGACTTCACATTGGATGTGGATGGCTGTTCAATCTCTGCATCTCCTCAAGTACGCAACCTGGGCGTCATCATGGACTCCACTCTCTCCTTCCAACAACACATCAAAAACGTCACTAAAATTGCTTTCTATCATCTCAAGAACATCTCCAGACTTCGAAAGTGCCTCACCAATTCTGTAGCTGAGGCCCTCATCCACTCATTCATCACCTCTAGACTTGACTACTGTAATGGTATCCTGCTCAGTCTACCCAGCAAAGCCACTGATAGACTTCAGTATGTGCAGAATTCTGCGGCTAGGATGCTCACACGCACAAAACTTGGTCTTCACATTACTCCTATCCTTATGAAGCTACATTGGCTGCCAGTAAAGTCCCGCATCAAATATAAAATCCTCCTCCTGACATACAAGTCCCTACATGGACTTGCACCCCAGTACATTATTGATCTTCTCCATTCCTACACTCCGTCACGGTCCCTGCGTTCTTCTGACAAGAACCTGCTTGTTGTCCCTAAGTCCAGGCTTAAGACATTTGGTGATAGAGCTTTCTGCGTTGGTGCTCCGTCACTTTGGAACAAACTTCCCCACGAGATCCGCTCTGCCTCATCACTCTCAACCTTCAAAAATCAAATTAAAACACACCTCTTCACTGAGGCCTTTGGGCTCTAGCTGCCTCGGCCCCGTGCCTCCTCCTTAACTCCCCCTTCTCATTTCATGTCCTTTGTTAAGCGTCCTTGGGTACTTTGAAAGGCGCTATATAAATTAAAGTTATTATTATTATTATAGCAAAAAACATGTTTTGAAGGGAAAATAATTAAAAATCTTCTGTAATAAATATATTTGATTAAATAGCACACACATCTCTGATCAAATTTGCAATTTATTTATTTTTCAGAAATGTAACTGTAAAGAGTTCACAATGTTTACAATAAAAAACACCTAAAACTAGATCACTGGAACATTTAATTTGCTTATCATAGCTCAAAATCATGTTTTTTTTAAAGTGTATATCTTATTAGCCTGGTAATACCAGACTCTGCTATACTTCACTTTGCTTCGTAGACCTATAGTATCCAGCTGCAGACCCGCAGCACCACCAGTTTCAGAACCCCAACGCCAGAACCCCAGCGCCAGAACCGGAAGTAAGGGGCGGAGTTACGTTCTAACCAATACCAGCGCCAGGAACGTAAGTGAGGGGCGGAGCTTAGGTTTGAAACCTAATAACGCCACCTAACGTAATTTGGAGGGTATTTTACACATGAAACAGCTTTTATTGAACAAGAAACGTCCTAGTCCTACTCTCTACGTATGTTATGATACTACATTACAGTACAATAAGCATTTTAAAACATTGATTTTGTGTAATATAATTGTATATAGTTTCAGTTATTCGTTTCATTGTATTATGAGTTACTTCCTGATCATGATGGTGAAAAAATAATACTGGAAACTTATGGGCAATTTAATGTATAACAGTTTAATAATTTTAGCTAAGCAGTTTATACATACGTGTAGATTTAGGAAGGTAAGACCTTTGTTTTTGTTTTGTTTTTTAACTTTGTATAATAAAGCTTTGAAAGATATAAAACAAGACAAGCATTGGAGGTATTCAAAATTATGCACAATTTGATAACTCATTAGACCTCTGTGATATTTTACGTTCTATTTATTTATTTATAGTGTTTATACAAATCTTAAATTGTTTTTATATTGAAGATATGTATTTGTAAGATGATTTTGATTGTTTAATAAAAAAAATGTTATTTAGATTTTATTATTTCATCCAGGGACAAGAAAAGTACCATAGTTAAAGAATCACCCTTAAAGCGATATGGGGTAGATTGTGCATTGGCTTGCTCAGCTGTGGTGATGTGTTGCAGTAGTGCTGTCATATCTGGCTGTAACATGAGATATAGCCTATAACATGCTCTCACACATTTATTTTTTAGAATTGTTGGGAGGAGTCAAATTTACATGTGGTTTCAAAAAACAAATGCATCTACACTTGTCCAGTTTCATCTGGAATGTGCCCCGAACGACCTCCTGAAATTGAGCAATCGGATTTAAATCCATCTCGAATTTGTTTTTCGGAGGGCATTTACACCTGGTGTTTTCAAGACTGGATAGCTAACCGATCCCAGAAAACCCATGAAGTGGCCAGGTGTAAACAGTCCCATAGACATGACAAAAGGCTGTAGTTGTTGTTTTCACGACAAAGGTTTTTCCTCTGTACAAATTATAAATATTATCAAAATAATTATTGTTCACACGCATCCGCGGAAATGACTAAAACACAGTATTATGCATGCCAGACAAGTAATGTCACTTTGCAAAGAAAGACTATGCATGTAACACATAATACGAAAGTCCATGCCATCGTCACTGTCACGGTGTTGGCAGACTGATCTCATGAAGTAGCGTGTGTATGACACGCCAATTCGTATTTCCATTTTTTGCGTGCTATCAAGACGCATAATCGCCTTTCAGCGTGTTTATGAACGCCGCTGACTTAACGTTATATAAATATATGACTTACCTCAACCCCGTCCCTAAACCTAACCGTCACTGGGGTTAATGGCATTTTTGACTGTTCCCTTACCATCCTAGGTAAAAAAAAAATATGACTTACAGTACCTCAACCCCATCCCTAAACTTAACCGTCACTTGGGTTAATGGCATTTATGACCGGTGATTTGACTGCGTGTTCAGACACGCGGAATTAATGGCGTAGACATATA